GGCAGCAAAGCATCTTTTTTTACTGACGATTTTTGTACCATGCTGATTTTTTTTTAGACTTGTTAGTAGAGATGGACAACCAGCAGCATAATGTTCACACTCCTTTCAGCTCCCCTTATGTTTTTGCTCGATTCTCCTCCCTATTGCGTTCTGAATCGCTGTCTCAGAAACGGAATGAAGTGTTTTTATCAGATGGCTGCAGATGTTCTTCATCTTACCTGAAGGGGGCTGTAAACACGACTGTTATGATCTGTAAACCAGCTCTGCCTATATTTGTAGTCTCTACAAACGATCATTATTATTGGCACTCCCCCTGATGGTCAAGGTGAGGGTTTTTGGATCAATTTTGGATCAATTTTGGATATAGAGCTACAAGAAACTAGGTCCATAATCCCTACGTAGAACATCTGCAGCTTTATTTTAAAAGAAATGTTAGTTTTTAGAATCACCTCCACTATGTTTCACATAGCTCCTTTTGTATTTCTGATAGAGTGAATGTGTTTGTAGGTCTCGCCCCCCCCCCCCCCCCCTCCACCTTTTATTTATCTTTTTTTTCGCCCCTCTCCTGATGGCCTTGTCCTGCAGCAGAGTGACATAGCAATAATGAGTGGTGCTTCTGTTCTAGACGGCTCTATTGGCTTTGGACCCTCTGGGCTCTTCTGAGTTTCATCCTGTTGGGAGACTATTTTGAAAATAAAATTTAAATTTTATGTCACGTGGCTGTTTTTCTGTGTCTCTTTGTCTTTATATTTTCTCTTGTTGGACCGCAATGCCATCTTTTTGTTGTAGTTTCTAGTATACTGTAGTTGGTTGCCTTCATCTATGCTGGCTTTTGTAGTTTGGAACACTCAGGTAATCTGTGTAAAGCTCCATAAGACAAACGCATGTATGCATGTGTTCTACCTGTGTGCCACAGCACATTTTCATTCTGTTCATGGTTAGAATGACTTTTTAAACTGACACAAAGCCAACGCTGTGGATCTTTGTGTGTGTGTGTGTGTGTGTGTGAGGTCGACAGGGGCACGTGGCTGTGTTAAATACAACTGCTGTGTCAGGAAGTGACAGGTCAGCATTTGCCGGGACTGACGAAACCGTACGCTCTCTTCATTTAGGGACAAACTGTCACTCACGATAGTGGGCCGATGATGTGCACCAATTCAATTTTTTTATCATGTAGAGGTGTGGATTGATGTTTAAATATCACACATACTGCAGAGACCAATCCAAAAATGTATTATCAGGAGTCTTGGTCAGCAATATGGAACCTTTTTTACTGGAACGTAACAGCTGTAGGAATGTGTGCAGATTACACAAAACATTTATTTTGACAGTTAGGTTTTTTTACTAGGATGACCTTTTAAACCAAACCACTTAATTTAAGAGTACGGCTATACACATCCTCAGAAGCTACATAACCTGACAGTGATATATTATTTCCCCGATGTTCCTCTGCGACAGATTTCAGTTCTAAGAAGCCACTAAACCCCAAGAAAGACTAAAATATTCAGCATCTTCTCGAATAGACCTGGAAATCCTGGAGCCAGATATATTTGAAGCTCATTATTGTGGGTACATTGTAAGCATTTCGTAAATTGACTGCTTTTTTTTTTACAACACTTTGTGCCCTTAAGGTTAATTTCAACTTAAATGATGGAAGAAAAAGCTGAAGTCCCTCCAGTGAAGCTGAGGATCACAGAAGTGACTGGTTCATAAAAGAGAGAAGAGAGGACATGGTTTTATCATGAATGATAAACTGAACCATTATTTAAAATAATTCTAAACCCTTACACATTTTTTTAACAATTCTAACACAACATCTACATGTAGTGCTGGGCAGGCGGTGTCTGAGTGGTGTGATACCACAGTAATGCCATTAAAGCTCATGGAATTTCATAGAAGCAATAACTAAAAGTTATTAGCTTCCTGGATTCATGAGTTTAATCTAATGTCATCAAATATCTAGTACTTGTTACAGTATATAAGGAGACTTAAACTTAAGTTTCCATGGTTCAAAATTAGAGGAAATAAGTGAAAAGGGTTGAAGAAGTCTGGTCACTTATGATCAGTAAAATGTTCTTAGTTACAGGAAATTGTAAATGATCACATTTCCCTCATTGTTCCTTCTCTGTGGCCCGCTGTGCAGACAGGTGCTGCAGGGTGAGGTTGCCTCCTTGTGGCCACTGCAGCCAGCACAACAACACCTGAGGGGTCCGGATGACAGGTGACATAAAGTGACTGACAAAGGCAGACTCCATGCCTTTGTGCTTTAACATGCCCTGAGGGCTGTCAAGTACAGATTGCAGGGTGGTCTAGTTTAGTGGTTAAATAAACCATTCTTAAGGTGGTTGACACTTAAAATCAAATTCCACTTTTTTTTTTACTGATGCCATGTGTTGCTCTTTAACGTGAACATTTTAGCACACTAATTCAAGGAGCAAATATGACATTTTTTAACCAAGAAAAATCTAAAATATTTCAAACTCATCGGAAAAAATCCTAACATTGAACTTCTTGGTGTCGTAGTTGACGAAAAATTAACATGGACATTTATTATTGAATATGTCTGTAAAAACAAAACAAAAAACAATTGGTATTCAAATTAGAGTTTGTTCATGTCTTGTATTTTACATATTTATTACAGATTATTGATTTATCCCGGTATTATGTTCTGAAATAATGCATTAGGGATCACATGTTCCTATCTTAATAAGATCCTGAATACATTTTTGAGTATAGCTTTGCTCAATCATTCTTCTCATCTATTTGTCACTTGTCAGAAAAATATATATACTACTATAATGTTTTAATACGAAGATTCAAAAGACTTTCATAAATATGTAGACCTAGCTCTTGACTTTCCTAGAATTCTGCAGAACTTTTTTAAGTCTTCTTCAGACATTCACTCCACAGGACTATATTCTATACTCAAGACTTATATCTTATATATTGTCGGACGTCCCTTTAATAAATACAATAAGTACAATACAATCAACATCTATATATCGTAATTCAAAAAAACACATCTGAAAAGGTCTTCAATTAGTTATAACGCTTTGGATTTTATTGTGACACATTTTAAATGGAAAACAACTTAAGGTAACATTTGCATTTCTATAAATGTTAGTGCTTTTTCAAATATTTGCTTATCTCACTCTGTCCTGTTTCTTTTTATGCATGATGTATCCTCATTAGACATTTTGGGTGTCTAACATTTCGAACACAATGTAAAAACATTTTCTTAAATGATTACTCTCTTTGCTTGAACAAAAAATAATATGAGTTGGCTCTCACAGCTGTTGAACTTTCCCTCTGAATTCCTTTCTTGCAAGAGGCGAGTAAGCAGTCATTAATCACCATTCCTTTATTATCATTGGCCTGGAGAACAGTTCTGTAAAACAGCCAACTACTTGTGATTATACTCTATCCAAATCCAGGGGAGTAAGTTAAGAAATTCAGCCTGACATGACATTAGACGCAGCTGACCTAACTCTATCACAGGAGGGTCACCATACATAGGATGCTGAAATGGCAGAATAGGCTTACTGCTTGCTTGTTTTGTAAAAAAGCTTACCAAGAAAACATTTGGCACCAAAATAAAGTATCAACTGGATATAAAAAACAAAACACATTTTCAGAAAGTAACAGAGGCAGAGAATTAGTTTGTCATCTGTTCAAGTTTCCATATCATCAGCATCTTCCCAGCAACAGACTGTCTGTTCCCTGGTGTGTCTGCCAGGGATTTAAGTGAGACAAGTGTTATATAAATAGGAGATGAGTTTCTATACCAGTGGCTATGCCTCTCTTTTTTTTTTAGATAATGCTATTCAGTTAAAACAATACACATAACACATGAGAAAAGTGCTTTGAATAATTCTTTATTTAGGTAGATAACACAATGTAATCACCTAATTCCAAACACAGAGTTTAGACTATGAAAAGACAAAAATAAGGGGAACAAATAAGCTATAACCTTCCTTGTCACTTTTAAATAGTCTGGTTCCACTTGGGTGTGTAAATATCTCTCACTGTGAATTTAAGTTAATTGGTTCCCTGGATTGCTGTACATTTTGTTTTGCAATTTATAAGAGAGTCTATGGGAATTTTGAACAGAATTCAGTTAGAATTCGGTAATTCATTATGCTTTCATTGATGTTTTCAAATAAAAAAAAGAGTAAAGGTCAATTAGAGAAGAGCGTGTGTACTTTTGGCCACCTGCTGTTAAAACATGTAGGGCCTATTTAATAAAGATATAAAACACATACTTAACACAATTAATAATGGTGTAAGGGACGTCTTATACTATTTATTAACAGGAAATAACACCTGAGTTTTGTTCCTTTCTCTCATCACCTTGCAGTGAACCATAGAGGAAGTTGCTGTGTGATGTATTTCCTTGACAATCTTCCCTGATTATGTAGCAGGCATAAATGTCTCATTGCCATTAAATTCCTGTAACTCACGAGGTTTCATTCATTAAGCTGCATGCATCCCCCTTCTTCTCCGACTCAAACCCTTCCCCCATTTTACTGCCTCGCAGTATTTGGAAGAGAAATGGACGACTTCCCCACCAAACGGCTCCCAGAGAGTGGGTGTGTTAGCTTGACATCTTGTTACACATTAACGACAGTGTGATAACACACGGAGTCGACGAGAACACACACAATTACTACAACTATCTGTATTATTTGATAAAACCTGACTAAAGAAGTCGGCTGTGAAATCCCCCTCAAACACGGTGGCCACATTCTACATCCGCAGCTACGAACACAGAAAAATAGAACCGGGAGTTGCATTGTATTAACACGCAACAACATGTAAACTATGAATATATAGGCATGTAATTATTAAAACGTGATAAATGTAATCTAGCTACGAAGTTACAGCCATTCTGCAGCAATGTCCTCTCCTACATCAAGCTGCCATTTCTACCTCCCCTCTACAGTGGCGTGCGTGAAACAAACACACCACTCGTCTTCTTCCGCAGAGGGCTTGCGCTTTTGCTTTTGAGGGGGAGGGGGATTTAAACAAACATGCCTGCACAACAGACCAACCGCCACTAAAATTCACCCTGAGGGATTCCCAACCCTGGAACATATCCTGTGCTGGTTTTTTTGCTGGAGGAAGACGGTGTTTTGCGGGGTAAACCGTTCAGCGCGCACTATTTGTTGCTCGGCGGAGATATACTCGACGCAGCCGGGACTCGGTTTGAGCGGAGCTGAATGGAGCCTCTTCCTGGTGGATAAACAGTGACAGCTACAGGGCAGCCACCTAGACCCAGCACACAGGCTCTGGCGCTGCCCTGGCAAACAACACCAAAATGGCTTCAGACAGTACACACATCGCGCAGTTGACTTCTGGTGAGTAAAGGAGAACGGAAAATGTGTCATGGTTGTTGTAATATCCCCCCAATTTCCTCGGTGCCCTCTTCTAACGCAGCTCCCGTCCTCTTCTCCCCCTCCAACCATACCAGAACTGTACTTCCTAATAGCCCGATTTCTAGAAGCTGGACCGTGTCAAAAAGCAGCCGAGGTTGGTGTTTATGCATTTTAGGATAATTTATAATATGTCCGAAATCGTCATGGGGTGTAATTTTGTATTTTTATCCTATTTTCAGACCCTGATAAGGGAGGTGGAGGAGAAGGAGGTAAGCAGTCAGCACTACGAGAGAGATGCTTCTCTCTGCACTGTACTTTGTCATGTTGCTTTCACTCTGATTTATCATTTACTCTTTAAAAAAATCACCTGCTACATTTATAACCTGAATGATAACGACGACATTATTTTTCCATCTTAGCTGCTACCCATAAGGCTGGACTGGACAGGGCAGGAGCACCCCGGGACGTACAGAAATTTGGTAAGGGAGCTCTATAACTGAGGGAAAAGTTTTTAGAGAGCAAAATAAAAATTGAATTTCCCGCAATTTTTAAATCAGGTGGTAAAGAAAAAGCTGTAAAGGACTTTACAGCAGGGCTAGCTGGCTGCAAGTTGGGGCCGATGTGGGGCACCAAGGGCTCGGGTCCCAGCCTCCTGTGCACCGTGGTGTGCGAGTTGGGTGCCATGCATGTGCAAAAGGTTGTAATAGTTGTTGGAAAAATGTGTGTGAAATGTTGATACGTCATGAGTGTTGTGGTGTAGGAGCGCCAGGATCCGGAGGAGGGACTCCCTGCGCCACAAGCCAGAGAGAGATGGAGGCGCTCTTGTCCTGCATAATGTGTGTGCATGGGTTTGAAAACACACAGGGGGCAAGAGTTAGAAAACTGGAGTTTTTGGAGGAGAATATAAACAGTATATTTAGCAAAGCTGGAGTTACAGCGACCCAGTTGAGAGGAGGCTGCTGTGCAGGGCTGTTGTGGAGGCATTTTCTGGAGAATTTTTTTTGTGGTTGCAAACTCGAATGGAGGAGAAGAGATGAGTTTATGTTGAAGATGAGAGGTAACGATGAGAGGATACCTTATAATCGCTCTATTAATGAAGTGCTAATTGTCATGTAAACAAACAGGGCTCGGCTGAAAGCGCCGTTTACGCATGGGGGCGTGGAGAGAATTAATCATCGCGTACATATTTATTTCTTCGCCATTGTGCTGGAGGTGTGAACCCCCACTTGTTTTGCTATTTTATTTAATTGAAGTTTGATTTTAATATTAATATAAAAATATTGGCTTATAACCTATTTAATTGGCTGGATTTTCTCGATTCGTCCTCTCTCATACACAGACAGATGGACATGCGAGACGATATGGCATTAAGTGCACATTCATCCGGGTGTACATTTACACGTTTTAGAGATTATTGACAGTCTTTCTGCCTGCATGTGTTTTTTCTCCCCCTCTCTTCCTGCTTGGCTCTGCTGCCCCCCCCCCCCCCCCCCCCTCCTCCCATTCCCTGCCGATCAGCCTCCCTCCTGTCTATTGTGCATAATGTTCTTCTATTAGAAAATAAAAAAAAACATACTGCGGATGGTTTTTAATTATTAGACTGAATAGAAACATGGTGTTATATAGGGGATCACGGTTGGATGTGTTTGATCGGAGGCTGTTAGGTGTATATGTCTGGGTCTGTACAGAAGGGGGTTGGGCAACAATGAGAAATCAACGTTGGCTTCATTGATAACGTATTAATTAACGATATTAATTGCATCTAATTAATTAGGGCGGATTAATTAGACATGTGATTATTTAATTGTGCATATGGAATTGATCCCGAAAACATTACATTGGAGCTATTTTTGAATTAAAATAGCACCCCGTAATTATTTGTAACCATATTTACACAAATGTGTCATTTTAATTTTGACCTCAAATAACTAGTGGATCTCAACAATGATTGGATTTTTCAGTTATGAGAGCCATATGTTGAAGATAATTATGTTTTGAATACATTATTGATTTTAGAACAGTGTATTCAAATGTAAGGTGGGGATTGTCATGTGTAAGGGGGCCATGTGCTTTCTGGTGTTGCTGTTATGACAAGGGGAGTGTTATGCAGTACCATTAAGAAGCAAGTAAAATGGAGCAAATTGTTATCTTTTCAGTGTGTGTGTGTGTGTGTGTGTTTAACAGCGCTGCATTTACCTGCTAGTGAGCTGATATGTGCTTAGAAATACTGATCACGTATCTGAACCAGCAAGGCTGTTGAAAGCAATTAAGGGGTCATTAATTGTGTGTGTGTGTGCCACAGATAATAAGTGTTACTGTCAGATAAAGGAATGGAGGGAAAATGTGTGTGTCAGTGTAATTGTATGATTTCAGGCCTATTTGACCCCGTGGAGATATTTAAATGAGATGTGTCTGAAACAAAGCTCATTTTAAATGGATACATTTGAAATAACCCCACACCCTGAAACCCTGAACACACCCTGAATGAAACACAGTGCGACTGCATGCTGCATAATTAACTCCTCTGGTGTATCGCTGCTATTCCAGTCACTCAGGCGTGTGTATCTTCAGAGTAGGCCATGCAGGAGAGTCGCCATGTGGAGACCCACTGTGTTTATATCAGTGCAGTGTTGCATGCCACACCCCCCTCCCCTGCTGATGCACTACACTGCATGTGAACGACATACATATCCTTCTAAAAGACAAGCATCCTAACTAAATCCAAGCATTCATTTCATCTTTCTTTAGTTTATGGAATACTTTTTTTTTAAATCTGAAAAGAAAACATAATTGAATAAAATATTGTTGTAGTCCTTGTTAGCCGTACTCAGTTTATTGCTGTTAAACCTCCAGAGAATAGTAATTAATTTCTGAAAAGGGCACATTTACTCTTAAATGTTTCAGCAAACCAAAAGGCGTTCTGGGTAGTGACCTTGTTTTCTGCGTGTCCTTGTTTTGCTGATAATACATTTTAGTGTGTGTGCTCAAGAGAAAATAAATGCACTGTAGCCAGAGAACAAACCTGTTTGCCAGCAGACGCTTGATACATCTAATTATAACCTTTTTTTTATTTCTCGCCAGTGTTTTTTTTATATAGTCCGACTATTAGGACTACTGAAAACTGCTTCTTTTATGTTATTCCTTTGTTTTTGGTGTACTAATATAGTTCATCTTTTTTGGGAGAGCTTGTTTGATGTCTTGAATCACATTTGTGCAACAATTGAACACATTTCAGTCAGTTTCCAGTTTTGTTATTCAACCCCGCACCTTTCTGACCGGTGTTTGTCATTTACCAGTCTGAATACAATCTAAGCTAATGTGATGTATGTGTGTGTGTGTGTGTGTGTGTGTGTGTGTGTGTGTGTGTGTGTGTGTGTGTGTGTGTGTGTGTGTGTGTGTGTGTGTGTGTGTGTGTGTGTGTGTGTGTGTGTGTGTGTGTGTGTGTGTGTGTGTGTGTGTGTGTGTGTGTGTGTGTGTGTGTGTGTGTGTGTGTGGTGTGTGTGTGTGTGTGTGTGTGTGTGTGTGTGTGTGTGTGTGTGTTGTGTGTGTGTGTGTGTGTGTGTGTGTGTGTGTGTGTGTGTGTGTGTGTGTGTGTGTGTGTGTGTGTGTGTGTGTGTGTGTGTGTGTGTGTGTGTGTGTGTGTGTGTGTGTGTTCAGGTGAAGCTATACCGGCACATCAGTCCCGAACACCTGCTGCAGGTCTGCTCCAGAGTGTGTCCTCTCCTGGAGACCGAGGTCCCCGCCAGCGTGCCGGGACTCACCAGCCTGCTGGGGGCCGGCCGGCAGAATCTCCTCCGCACCAGCAAGAGTGAGTGCATACATTCTAAATATCTACTTTAATATGCAAACACACACACTCAGGCTACTACAGCTCTCTGCATGTCCTTACAAACTAACAAACCTCTTTTCACTACATTTCGTTCCCTTGTACAATATGGACAATCCATAATAAATACTGTCTACATGTTTTCATGTGTCATTAAAAAGTCTTAAATTAAATTGTCTGACATTTAGAATAAATAAATAAATGTTAAATATGACTTGAATGTCATGGTAACTGCAAACAATGAAGAGAGTTGTCAAAGTGAATGTGTTCTGCTTGGCAGGAGAACAAAACCGCAATCAAAATCAAGGTGTTTAACTCGTATCATAATCTAATTTAGCACATTCATTAAGTGCTTCTTTATCTCCATGGTGACTGTCATTCTACCCTACCAGCTTCTTTCATTTAAGATCTCTTGTATAATATAACCAATTTAATAAATCAATTTACTTCAAGTCATTCGAGGACTTCTTGTGCCAGTATTACTACCAAAAAGAATGGGAATTCAATTTCACTTTATATGGTCTTCAAAATCCTTACATTTCATTTGTTGAATCCTGCAGAAACCATGTGTATAAAATGTGTGTCTGTATCTTTATGCATCTCTTTTTGTGTTCATCCTCCTCCAGGCTGCAAGCATGTTGTGTGGAAGGGCTCTGCGCTGGCTGCTCTGCACTGTGGAAGACCACCGGAGCCACCTATTATCTATGGGAGCCCACCTAATATTGGTAAAGAGAACACTTTGCAAAACAAAACACAATTTTCAGTCTTCGTCATGCTTTTGGTATTCAGTCTAGGAGTCAGATCTTCCGTACTATCTTATTAGTTGCCATGGTCTTATAGCTGATGTTATATTTAACAGTGGTGATATTATGTTTTGCCTCAGAATCAATGTGTATTCCTGCACAGTGTTGTAGCACATATGACAATTTCCTCACTGGTGTCTGTCATTTCTGTTTTCCAGTGGAGACAAACTTCGGCCGTCGACTGAACGGCTCCTACAGACTTAAGCAGCTAGTGCCCACGGTGGTGTACCTGCACATGAAGATGCACAAGAGGATTCTGGGACATCTTTCGTCCGTTTACTGCGTCACCTTCGACAGGACCGGACGACGCATCTTCACGGTAAGGCTGCTGTCTGTGCGTGTTGTGTTTTATGGTGTGTTGGAAGTTGAACTCACGGTCACAGAAGTTGTAGTACCACCATTTAGCCACTATGAACATTTGTTTCAACACCCGGCTCACTTCCTGGGGCCTTGGTTGAACTCAGCTTGGCTTCCTCTTGCTGCTTGTAAAGCGTGTGTTATTGTGTTTTGGTAGCCTATTGAAAGTCATTTTATTCATCCTTGTAAATTATGCAATGATGTCGAGATACACTCAGGTGAAGTGGTCTGAGATCATCGTCTTAAATTGTTGCTAGTCAAAGTGTCGATCTTGACATTTTGCTGCAGATGGTTTCAGTTGTTTGGTGCAACTCAACTTGAAACAGATTTTCCATGTTCAGATTTAAGCCGCGGCTTTTGAAGTGTGATTTATGGAGGCAGAGTTTTACATCTCTGTGCCTGAGAGGTCCAACAACTGTGTTATACAGAATGCAATGGCAAGTATCATTACAATCTCGATGTAACACTATGAATTAGGAATCAGGTGACACAAGCATTCACATAGGGAACGGTATGGAAAAAAGATAAAAAACCTCTGGCTCAAACAATGTAGAGCCGCAAGACAACTCTCTGCTTATCTTTTAAAACTAATGTCCCAAAGGCAAAGTGATGGTTGACAGTTGTGGAGAAATAAACTTAAAATCTTGTCATATTTGCCAAAAATGCAACTGTAGACTATATTTTGGATTTATTTGCAGATCAACTTGATTTTAGATTTGTATGTCTGTTGCCGGTATTGTTTTACTTATAAAAGAATAAAGAACACAATGGCGAGTGTCATAAGCGATCTCTGTTTCAATCTGAGAGTTGAGGGGTTCAAATCAGCAGAGACTGTTCAAAATACTTTCTCAACTATCATTTTCTTACAATTCAAAGGGAGGCTGGATCTGTTTCTGCATAGTAATCTGAGTTTGTGGATGAGATTTCAAAATCATTTTTCACCATGAAAAATACCTACATTTTTACACATCCTGCTACCAGTGTGGATACACTTTTAAATCAATATATCTTGCTTTATGTTAGAGGGAATAATAATTTTTTAAACATTAATCGCATCATTAATAATGTCAATGATCATATTGTAATTGTACCAAACAGGGATATTTTGTTAAGTCTGTCAAATATATTTGATAGGCCCTCATTTAACAAACACTTCACTCCCTGCGATGTGGATATTGCATCAATCAAGTTTGCCATTTTGATAAAAATGTAGATGAACTGTGCAGCCCTGGTGCATTTTGAAGAGCTCTAAAGGATCGGTTACTTTAATGTGCGCTAGTGGTAGCCCCTCATGCATGAGTGTTACAAGCTGTGTTTTCTCACCAGTATGACAAAGGCTCTGTGTTTTCGCTGTTGTTACAGTTCTGGTAGGAGGTAATTACTGTTTACCTTACAGCCGTGGGACGCTTTTACCAAATGACTCACAGCTTTAGCCGAATTCACCCTGAATGGAAGACAAATCACAAAACAAAACCTGTGGAGTCTTTAAAGGAGGAAGTTGACCTTTGCCCTCTCGGTGCCCCTAGTATACTTGTGCTGTGTTCTTTATTTCCATGTGGTTGGTTTAGAGCTACAGCAGAATGTTAGATATTGAACGAACAATGAGATCATGTAGGTTTAATGTTGCTTTCTGTTTGGATCCTTGAGTCAAACACTGCCTGCTGCTGTACTCCATTTTCAGATTTCACTTCTTAAATCTCTAAAAATGGCTGGCTGCTGACAGTGAGACGAAGGGAGCGGAGTGGAGGAGGGGGTGGGGGGGGTAGATTGACTCCCTATGTCTCTGTTTTCCTGTTATCTCTCTTTCTTACAATCTCTCTATTTCTCTCCCCCGTCCCTCATCCTGCGCTGCCCCTCCTTTGTTCCTCTCTCCCTCCCTCGTCTTGCCATTTCTCATCATAACTGGGGAAAATGTTTCCTCTGAGGCGTTGGCTAAGTGCCAGAATTAAAATTCACTCTTGGTTTCTCTCACTTTTCCCCTTTCCTTTTTCTCTCTCACTCCTTTCATCACAAGATCATTTTTATTTATATCTTTTCTTATTTCTGGAAGTATTTTTCCTCTCCACCGTGCTGCAGCGGAACACACATTGATTGATATCGAGTGTAAACATTTACTGTGATGATTTGCGATCAATGCATAAGTAAATAAAGGTTTAGCTAACCATCGATTGGCCACATTGATTTGTGTAATATAGTTTTATAAATGGCTGCAAGCTCATTATCACAGACATTGGGAAGGACAAATTGGAGCAGCTAATATGCATTGTTCATACTAGCGTAACTTCACATCTACAGCAACAAGGAAAGTCTTTTTCTGACGCTGCTGCATTCAGGCCTGGGCAGATCTGGTTTTCGTCCTTCTTGGCGTAATTCGTCCTTGAGATCCTTTTTCTAACTCGCTAAGGGAGTGTTCCCTGTTTTGATCACATAAAATAACAGCTTCAGTCCGACTCTGCTGATTATGATTTATTCAAAGAAGCGGGGTTGGAGTTTTCATCTAACATTTTCTCCAAAAGATCCGTTCCGCTGCTGTTATTGTAGAAACAAAAGCTCTGAAGATATAAAAGGATGTGTTGGCATGTTCTCTAACTCACTCAATGTAATCACACCATTCTGTCTGAAATGCATATTTGATCATTAAGTTAAGAAAATGTGCGATCACACTTTTAAAATGTTCTATTTATAACACTTTCCATACACGTTTCTTATCTTTCTCAAAAATAAAGATATAACGCATTGTCACACTGTGCTTTATACACCTTTACACTGGTTACCTGTTGGCTTTAACATCATATTGATTTAGATCCTAATCAAGGCACAGATGGCTCTGGCTCCAAATCTCTTTAACCCCTTACAATCTGGATTACAGCCAGAAGTTAAAGTCCCTATAGGCTGTAGCAATGTCTTCATTAAGGGTCATGCTTTTTCAATCCAGACTAAAGGCTGTGTTAGAAGCTGCCTCTATGCTACCAAATGTATTATACACTTGACTTTATGTCTCTTAGCTTGCTTCCACTTAACTTAATACTGACAATAAATATATTACTGAGAGGACTTTACTGGTGCACTTCTACTTACTGCTAGAACACACAGAGAGACACGCCTATCTCACAGTGTATAATATTAAAGAGGCCCTATTGTACATTTTTGGGTCTTAATTCCCTATAGTGTTTTATATATGTGTTTGTGCATCTAAATGGTTTGCAAAGGCTATGATCCTTAAGTTCCCTCCAGAGGGAGTTACCCCCGCCCCAGAAATGCCGCGATTGTACTTGGAGTTGACCAATCACAACAGAGCCGGCCAGCTAACCAATCAGAGCAGACTGGGCTCTGGTTTCAGACAGAGGGTGAAAAGAGGTGCTGCAGCACAGGCAGTATGAGGAAAATAAAGAGCTTTTTGAACATTAAAGCATGTGAACATGTCACAGTAGAGGCACAACATACAAATGATAAGCTGAAAAAGATCAAAAATATGGTCCCTTTAAAATACAAGTTGAGCTATCTGAATCAATGTGTTTCTTTTACCTGTTACTTGTCTGTAAATAGCAAGTTGGATGTCATTAATTATGCCTACCGGCACACTGTGACCACATCATTGTGAATACCCAAATGCAAAGGAGAGTGTGAGGAAACATTTACATGATTGCAGAGACCTGATTTCATAAATAAAGCACATTTACATGATGTGTTCAATAATGAACACGGTGTAGTTTAAAAATAAAATAACAAAAAGGATTTTGGAACTTATTGTACTTGCACTGTAATTGCGTTCTGTAATTGTTCTTGCATTACTAAAGGTAATGTATTTATTATTTTCCATTAATTAAGTCCTAACAAAAGTAAAAATATGAAGAGTTAATTTGCAAAAACAGAAACAACATCTCTACAACTACTTTTATTGATATTTCCTTGATTTCACAATACAGTATTATAAGATTGGTTTGGGGAAATGTAAAAATTGGCTTATTTTATCCTAACAACCCGACTAGGGTTACATTTACATTTCCTGGATTGCATTAAGAACAGCTACATAATTAAGGAAAATAAATAAATGAAAATCAATAAAATTGTTTATGCAACAACAACAAATATCCTTTATAGGTAACTAAACTATATCCGACCCAAATATCCCAAGACACCACAGTAACATGCTCATTTGGCAATGTCTACCATATCTTAAATACTCAAATTAGAAGTGGATGGAAATACACGGACAGAAGTTGAGCTGCTGACAATCATGTGCCTATAAATGTTCGTTGTCACTTGTTAACTCACTGAAGATTAGCCCCTCAGTCCCTCTTCTGTTTGCATTCCACGTGTGTCAGTCTGCTGACAGTCTGAAGCCTGCAGTGTGCCCAGATTTATTTAAAGTATTTAAAAACTTGACATGTTTAATTAGTCTTACTAGAAGTGAATCCGAGGCAGACACGCCACTTCTCAAACTAAAATACCAGTCCTCACTGGAGTCTGATTGCTTTCTTCTCTTCCTCAGGGCTCAGACGACTGCCTGGTGAAGATCTGGGGAACAGATGACGGGCGTCTGCTGGCCACGCTGCGCGGACACGCCGCTGAGATCTCAGACATGGCCGTGAGCTACGAGAACACCATGATCGCTGCCGGGTCATGTGACAAGACCATCAGGGTGTGGTGCTTACAGACCTGCGCCCCTCTAGCCGTCCTGGAGGGACATGCAGCCTCCATCACCTCTCTGCAGGTACGAGGACACTCAGCACTTCATGTTTGTGCGTGTATATTTATTTAGCTGAAAAGAGAATTTAAAAGCCACTTATAATATTTTTGTATTCCTGCCACCATTTATGTCTGTCTTTAACAAACTGCTCACTTTAGACTAAAGTAGTACCCTAGCTGTTGTCATTCTAGGAATTATGCCTGCAGCGAGAAAAGCCACTCAAACAATATTTAGATCATGACAAACTGACATTATACTGCAGTTAGTTTGAAATGTAAAGAGGCCCTATTATCAGGGCTGCACATAACTCTTTTAGTGAGTTACTCAGATGAGTACCAGGAGACAGCGTTTGGTACTCACCCCACACCAAGCGTGGTCGTCCTCACTGTCTCCTTCACTGTCCTTTATTTACACTTCTTGCATGCTAGATGATGAAGATGCACCTCCCTGTCTCTTTTTAAGCCTCCGATTTGCTTTCTCCAAAACTTGTTGCCAAAACTGTGAAGTCCTTGCATTTCCTGAGGCCAAGTTGAAGGATCAAATACTAAGAAATGATCACATTACATTACATTGCATTTAGCTGACGCTTTTATCCAAAGCGACTTACAATAAGTTCATTCGACCAAGAAGATACAAACTTGAAGAAAACAGAATCATATAAGTACATCAGGCTTCAGAGAGCCAAAACATTTCAAGTGCTACTCAACTAGCTTTAGATAAGCCAGTCCTTTATTAGTATATAAGTGCTTTGTTAGAAATTGTATTGCTCGAAGTGGAGTCGAAAGAGATTAGTTTTTAGTCTGCGCCGGAAGATGTGTAAGCTTTCTGCTGTCCTGATGTCAATGGGGAGCTCATTCCACCATTTTGGAGCCAGGATAGCAAACCCACGTGTTTTTGCTGATGGGAACTTGGGTCCCCCTCGCAGTGCGGGTGCAGCGAGCCGTTTGACAAATGCAGGGCGGAGTGCACGTGCTGGGGTGTATGGTTTAACCATGTCCTGGATGTAGGAAGGGCCAGATCCATTCACAGCATGGTACGCAAGTACCAGTGTCTTGAAGTGGATTCTAGCAGTTACTGGAAGCCAGTGAAGGGAGCGGAGGAGCGGCGTGGTGTGGGAGAATTTAGGAAGGTTGAAGACCAGACGAGCCGCTGCATTCTGGATGAGCTGCAGAGGTCGGATGGCACATGCAGGTAGACCAGCCAGGAGGGAGTTGCAGTAGTCTAGGCGTGAGATGACGAGAGCCTGGACCAGAAGTCAAGTCACATGACTTGAAGTCATATCTGATTTCAGATGTGGGAAGTTACTAAGTACACTTATTCAAGTACTGTACTTAAGTACAATTTTGAGATATTTGTACTTTACTTGACTTTGATGCTACTTTGTACTTCTACTCCACTACAGTTCAGAGGTAAATGGTGTACTTTTACTCCACCCCATTTATTTAATACCTTTAGTTACTTTACAGATGTGGATGAATGATGTGAAATATAATCAAGTGTTGAATCAGACTTTAGTTCCACTTGGAGTAAATTCACAAGCTACCCTGCAGTATACAAAGTCATTCAAACTAGCTGCACCTTTACCAGCTTTGAGAACACTTTAATGATCAATCATTATAAAACATATCATATATATTATTCTGAAATGGACCAATCTGCACAATGACTACTTTTACTGTCGCTAACTATATTTTGATAATACTTGTCTTTTCTGATTTTACTTGAGTAACATTTTGAGTGCAGGACTTTTACAGTAACAGAGTATTCCTACACAAGATCTGAGTACTTCTTCCATCTCTGTCTGATTTCAAACTCTTCCATTAACACCCTGAGTAAGTTTGCAACTGTGTGTTTTACTCCACTTTGTTGTAAATAAAACTGCAGCAGCTTGACCACAGAGCGTGAACGTTGTGATCAGCTGATTTTGCGCAGTTCTCCAGTGTGTGCCCGGGGCACAGAATGTGCACAGGGGAGTCTCCCACTGCAGCCAGTTGGCGGAGTTTTGGCACAATTCTGTTGTTCATACCGACGTTAACCCTGCCTGTGCACACGGTGAACAACTCTGTCAACCAGTGATCTAAGCCTCTGCCTCCTGTAAAGCTTCAGAGGTCCGTCGGTTATGTCCTGCGCGGCTCGCCCAGCTCCAGTTCAATCAGTCATAGAAAGTCCGAAGATTTTTAGCAGGGAGCGAAACAGCAACGTAGCTGCTTAATGTCTTTGTTTTTTTTTACATGTCTAGTAGTTTACTCCATTGAGTGTTTACAAGAAACACGTGTCAGTGTTTCCCCTAGGATGGAGTCACAGCAGCGGTGCTAAGGCACGTGGGCCCAGCATAATGTGAGCGCGGAGCGCGTGGAATTTATTAGTGTGTGCGTGTGCGAAGTGCGCCCCGCCAATTTGTTCCTATGTGTCTGCCAGCACAAGAAAGGCTCTTGAGGCCTAGTACCAGGGCCGGTTCTAGACAATTTGCTGCCCTAGGCGAGATTTTATATATAAAGAATACATGAAAAATCTCTACAAAAGACAAATACACTACAAAAACAGAAACTTATTGACATAGGTAATAGACGTCAAAATGGCTTCAAATGTATTCAGTATTGTATGAACATGTTTTAATTGGGGGGTGGACGTCACATCTTCTAGGGGGGTCCGCGGGTCTGCCCCCCCGGGAAGATGTTTTTGAACATTTTAAAGTAAAATGCTTCAATCTGGTGCACTTTGAGCACACAATTACTAGAGACCTGATCTAGGGGAACTCTAAACACCCATATGAAAAAGATCGGTTTACATTTTAATAGAGATGTCCCAATCCGATCACGTGATCGGGGATCGGAGCCGATCACGTGATTTTCAAAAGATCGGAATCGGGAGAAAAAAATCGGGGATCGGAATGTTTTTTTTTTTTTTTTTTTTTTTTTTTTATATTTTTTTTTAATAGTTGTATTTAATGTTACAAAACAAAAATGACCATGTTCACGTCTTAAAGTCATCCTGAGGCCTTAGTTTTGGTTTAAAATTACACAACATCATGTATGTGTTGCTTCTTTTGGGCTTGTTTTCATAGACCTGGTTGCTTATTTCTCTCAAATCTGGCAACAGAGTGGGCGCAGTGTCTAATAGTAGCAGTAAGCTAACAAGAGGCTACGTTCAGCTGGTGCCTCGGGAGTCGGGACAGAGAAAATGTCAGGAGTTTGGAAGTATTATAAAATTGAAAGCGAAGGCAGTGTAACAGCCAGATGCAATGTTTGCAAGGCGGAGGTTCCGCGTGGTGGAAAGAACAGAGTTACGTTCAACACGACCAATCTAATACAAACACCAACAACAACACGACGAGTACACAGCGGCCACTCAGGTAACGGCACTGAAACAACCGACACTTTCAGAGACTTTTAAAAGGAAAGAGAAACTGCCCCAGAACAGTGAAAAGGCCAAAAAAATAACAGCCAAGATAGCTGAATTCATCGCGTTGGATGATCAGCCGTTATCTGTTACCTTTTTTTTCTCTTAATGCATTGCATAAAGATCGGATCGGGAAAAATCGGTATCGGCAGATTGTCAAAATCAAATGATCGGAATCGGATCGGGAGCAAAAAAAGGTGATCGGGACATCCCTACATTTTAATAATCAATAAATATGTGAACATAACCAATAACCTACCATAGCCAATAACAAATAAATGTAACTTATTTTATTTTTGTTGTTCATTTATATCTTATTTTACCTAGTTAACATTTATTTATTTATGCATATTTTTTTTGTATCTCTCCAACTTTAAACGATATTTTTGGTTTACTGTCCTATAGTATACATTGGAATGATTTCAAACCTGTTTTTATTTATCCTAATAATTATAAAGGACTGCCTTGGTACCAAACAACAGCGCCGGTACCGGTGCGCCCTCTCTCTCTCCCTCGCTCATTCTCTCGCTCCCACTTTGGCTGTGAGCTGCGGGCGCCTGATAAGCCAACATCCCCCACTTTCATCACTTACAGCGCCCATCGTACAGGGCAAATGAAAAGTGTAACCGGGGTGAAAAGGGTGTTACATTTACTTAATTATGAATATTGTTACATCAAGGCCAAAAATTAGGATGAGCGCCAACGGTCAAAAATGTTTTTTCCCCTCCCAGAGCTACCAGCGCAGCGCCCCCCAGATCTGGCGCCCCTATGCCAAAAATCGGCCCTGCCAGTACATACAGTGGCAATGTCTCAAGATTTAGCAAAAATACACCTTTATTGAACATACAGTAACACAAATACTACAAATCCACATAACAAACAATCAAAAATGAAAAAGGGTCGCCACTTATTATTATTTTATAAGCGTAGTGCATAATGGCTGCGCCGCCGCTATTTGTATATAGGGAAACACTGCGTGTAGATGAAATATGTGTTTTGTTTTGAGGTATGCAAAGGCGCGTAGTGACACAAGTGACATTACGTAATTCAGATTTGTGCCGTACCTGCGTACCAGTTATGTGCGCCCCTGCCTATTATGATTGTTAGGGTTATCCATTTTCTGTAGTGTGTTATATAGGTTTTTGTGCATGTAAATGGTTTGCAAAGGCTATAATCCCTGTGTACTCACACTCTCCCCCCCTGACTGAAACGCCTCCATTGAACTCCTTTGTTTACTTCAGTAACATAATGACATCACTGTGTAACACTCAAGCTTCTATTGGCTAGCGCTCCAACACATTGTATGTGACAGACTAAGGCTGCCTTTACACGGGAACGTTTGCGTTTATGCACAGTATGCGTTTTCAAAAAAGTCTTCCGTTCACATGCATTCGTTTAATTTAACGTGTCTGTTCACACGAGACCGCTGGAAACGCTGTAGTACATATGCCAGGCCTGTAAGTGGCGCTGTACTTCCACACGAGACCGCTCGAAAGCGCTGGACACGCTGTAGTACATATGCCGGGACTGTAAGTGGTGCTGTAACTTCCGCCACAAAATACACCAAAAGCAGCGAAGAAGACCCCGGAGCATGGTTGCCATGGCTGCCCTTCTGTTTATGCCCCGCGGTGGATTTAGCAACATGTAGTAGTTCATGTAATTCTCCATGTCCACTTGTTGCTGATGGTTGTGGTAGAGGAGCTGTAGATTTTGCACTAACATCTGATCTGTAGCATGGTCGAGCTGTAGATGTTGTACTAACATCTGTAGCATGGTCAGTAGCAGTAGCACTAGCAGTAGCTACTGACAGTAGCTACTGACCATGCTACAGCAGTGAGCAGCAGAGGTGGGGAGAGGCGGGGCTATGGCTTCATCTATCGGGAAATGATCGTATAGAGGCGATTACACGGAGCCGTTTGACCCCCCAGAGCGTTCCGTTTGCAAATCTATCCACCTTGGGACCCGTTATCGTTTGTGGGGTCCGTTTCTATCGTTTTGTTACGGCCTCGTGTAAATAAAAGGGCTATACGCAAGAGAAACTATGCGGATACAACCCGTTTCGTTCTCGTGTGAAGGGGGTCTAAGTGGCTGGACATCTCTAAGCGGTTGACCAATCACAACAGAGCCGGCCAGATAACCATTCAGAGCAGACTGGGCTCTGGTTTCAGACAGAGGGTGAAAAGAGGTGCTGCAGCACAGGCAGTATGAGAAAAATAAAGACCTTTTGAACATTAAAGCATGGAGACATTTCACAGTAGAGGCACAACATTAAAATACAGTATGAACCTGATAATGATTCTTATATAAAGAGAACACTCTAACGTGTGGGCAAAAGATGGCATGACAGACTATTATCCACATTTACAAACAGGAATGTCCATAATGGCTCCAATTGTTTATGGATGATGCAGGTGTTATTTAATGTTGTTTGTTTTCACTTTCCCTGCTCTGTCCTTGGCATAGAGCCTCGTGCTCTTTGTTCCTGCTGAAAACATGAATCATAAAAATAATACATAAATATTAGCTTCATTTGTTTCTAAGATTACTATCAATTCAATATTTGCTATTGAGCTTTTAGTTTTGCTTTGATATTCTATGTATCCGTGTAGCTATGTGTTTTAAGGTTGTATGCTAATCGCTCTCCTCTCCCGACACAGTTGTGGATGCTTTATAAGCTAATGTGGGTTAATTATCCTTTCTTTTTTTGGCTGCAGTGTTAGCATCTCCTGCTGACTGCCCATTACACTCAGTTGTAACCCCTAATTGGTTGTCTTTGCAGTTTTCCCCTCTCTGCTGCGGCTCAAAGCGCTACCTCTCCTCCACTGGAGCTGACGGCACCATCTGCTTCTGGCAGTGGGATGCACGCACGCTGAAGTTTTGGTGAGAAACACAAATGGTGAAAATACTAGTTAAATGGGATTTATTTGTTATCCCGAAAATTAAATATAGTTATGTACAAGACAACATAAGAAGGAAGCGGACATCTGCTGACATGTTCTACTAAAAACATACAAACTCTTTTCATTCCATTTCCGTCCGTTTCATTTTGTATCTGCTTGTGTGTGTGTGCAGTCAGAGGCCCAGTAAATTCACGGAGCGTTCCAGGCCTGGCGTCCAGATGATCTGCTCCTCATTCAGTGCAGGTGGGCGGCAACCACTTTTGATTTTCATGCATGCTTTGAGACCACCTAAAGGCAAACAGCAGCTGAAAAAATGTGCAGAATAACTGAAGAGCAACACAGCCACACACAAATGGGCCTTCTGCTTTTCCATAAATGTGGAATGACTCTGCTTATTGAGGTTAAATTGACCATGAATGAAGTTTCTTTTTGCACAAAGTTTGCCCTCACTAATACAAGAAAAAGCGTTTGTTTCACCATAGCTTGATCTTTGAAGTGTATATTATAATTTTTTTAATGGAAGTATCGGGTATTGAGTGTTGATAATTCTGACCCGTTATGTTTTTTGTGCAGGTGGTATGTTCCTGGCCACAGGAAGCACGGATCACATCATCAGAGTGTACTACTTTGGCTTAGGCCAACCAGAGAAGATCTCTGAACTTGAGTCCCATACTGTAAGTCAACATAATGCTTTTTATTGATTAAAATGTGTTTTATTAACTATATACAGTATGTTACAGTACAGTACAGTGCTTAGATATTGACAATTAACATGGTTATAGTCCAACTTGGGAATAGTAGTTATAATATAAATAACTCAAGGCCCACTTACTTGCTTTTATCCCAGCTGTATTTCATGGACTTCTTCAGCAGATGGAGTTTCCTCGGTTGTCTTTGAGAGTGTGTTTCATCATTCTCCATGACAACTAAGCAAACTTCATCAACTGAAGAAGATGGTAAGATGCAGTTGAAAGCTCTGGAGAGAGCTAGTAAGATGACTTTGAGTTAAAGAAAATATTTTAATGAAAGAAATGATCCATTAGGTTATACTGTACATAGGGATGGAAAGGATCACCAAACGTATTGCAAAGGCATAGGAAATATTTAGTTGTATTGTCTATTTAAAAATGTTCTTTTATTAAAAAAAATCTTAGCACCAATAGTTTTACTTTAGTGTTGATGTCTATGATATAGCTAGTAATACACAAAGAAGTTGTCTAGCAGAGGTAATGCTTGTTAATTATTGCGTTGTTTTGACTCCTATATTTTCCTTACCCAGGACAAAGTCGACAGCATCCAGTTCTCACATTGCAGTGACAGGTAGGTTCAAACTGTGTGTGTGCGTGTGTGTGTGTATTAGCCACATAATAAGTGAAGTCAATTTTTGTGTGTGCTCCGCTGTTTGTGGATATGGAACCTGGGGGTGTTGTTATGTGAATGATGCCGTCAGCAGAAACACCACCTTTACTTACTCTCTGATACACACTTTATTACACTCCCCCCCCCCCCCACACACACACACACACACACACACACACACACACGCTTGCACATATCATGCGCTCTCTCAGTGTTAAATTGCCTGTGCCTGTGTGGAGTTTGCAGAAAAACAAGCTCAGCTAATTCCCCTGGGTTGCTGTAATCTCAGCAGCGAAGGAGTGTCTAAGCAGAGAAGGAGGGGTGGAGGAGATGCAGAAGAAAGGGGGGGGGGGGACAATTAGTACATGCAGATAGATAAAAGCGCTTATTGTGTTGCAAAGCGCGTCTATAGAAATGTTTTATTTACAGTTCATGAATCTGTGTTTCCTAATGTGTGTGTGTGTGTGTGTGGTAGGTTTGTGAGCGGCAGCAGGGACGGTACAGCGCGGATCTGGCAGCTGCAGCCTCAGGGGTGGAGGAGCATTCTGCTGGACATGCAGACCAAATTACCCGGGTATGATTGTGTGTGCTCGGCTGTCAAAGTCTGGCTTTTTTTCTTCTTCTTTTTTTTACCAGCACTGCTGGACTCACAGCTCAGAGTCGTGGGTTGGGATGTCACTCTAAATTTGACAAAAATTAATCATGCTGTATACTCAAGTCCCAGACATATTGAGTGTGAATACTCCCATTGTAGACTATGCACCATTAGGAAGTGAAAACATTTATTTATTGTCCCTTTTTACCAGCTGCAAAATGCTTTTCTTGCAATCTTTTTTAACTGCATTTATTTTTTTAAATGCACAATCTATATGATATAAATAATGAAGTTGAAAAAATAACACTTTCACACCTGTTGCATTAATGTGTCAAAGTGATTGATTACTGCTCCCAGGCAGAATATTGATTTATAGAACGCATAAGTGAATTAATGGAGGTGACACTGATGAGCTATTTAAGTACTTCTGAATTAACTCAACATACAGCAATAATTGCAGATTCAGAGATAACCTGGTTATCTTAAAATTTTTTTTTAATTGTTTATAATAATGGCATTGAAGCTTGGATATCATGAAAAGAAAAACACACTGGGAGAGAGTTGAATGGACTTAAATATTTAGGTTACAAATAAATGTTATAATGTTCTTGATGCGCTATTTAAACAGAAACAGCACATGTTGTGAACAAGGAGCTTAAACATTAATTGAGTCAAAAAAATTGACTGAATTGTTTCTTGATTTTTATAACATTTCAACCATTTCAAAATATGTTGTGTAGTTGCGCCTTTATGTATTTATTTGAGTTATAAAGTAAAACACTTTTGTCTCAAACATGACATCCGTGTATCACATCCTCTCTTCAGGAAGTACAACCCTCCTCCGCTGGAAGACAAAGTGACCAAGCTGAAGGTTACCATGGTAGCATGGGATCGCCATGACGGCACCGTGATCACAGCAGCTAACAACCTGACACTGAAGGTGTGGAACTCCACCACCGGGAACCTCGTGCACGTACTCATGGTATGTGGTGATTCAACACATGCCAACACAGAGCATGTGACATATAGAACAATGTAGGGCTGTGCGATTATGGCAAAAATCATAATCACGATTATTTGGGTCAATAATTGATATCACGATTATTAAATACGATTATTCATTGACTTTGAAAAAATCTATTTATTGAACTTTAAAACAAATACAAATAATAATTTGAACAGTATCTTTTTAACTGTTGATTACCCTGAACGTATAATTCAACTGAAAAACCAATACAAAAATAAATAAAATAAATGATACATTTAAATAAATAATATCAAAATAATAAATACCAATAAACAAGATCAACAAATATTTTGGAGCGCACTTCCCCAAGCTACTAAACATATATAAATACTAGGGCTGTCAGTCGATTAAAATATTTAATCGCGATTAATCGCATGATTGTCCATAGTTAATCGCGATTAATCGCAAATTAATCGCACATTTTTTATCTGTTCTAAATGTACCTTAGAGGGATATTTTTCAAGTTTTTAATACTCTTATCAACATATGAGTGGACAACTATGCTTTATATGTTTGTTTATTATCATTTGAACAATGACAAATATTCTCATGAATATTAAACACAACAACCTCTGAACATTACAAATATTCGATTCAACCTGGAACCTCTCTCATACAATAATACAATACAAAGTGTGTGTGTGTGTGTGTGTGTGTGTGTGTGTGTGTGTGTGTGTGCGCGTGTGTGTGTGTGTGTGTGTGTGTGTGTGTGTGTGTGTGTGTGTGTGTGTGTGTGTGTGTGTGTGTGTGTGTGTGTGTGTGTGTGTGTGTGTGTGTGTGTGTGGTGTGTGTGTGTGTGTGTGTGTGTGTGTGTGTGTGTGTGTGTGTGTGTGTGTGTGTGTGTGTGTGTGTGGTGTGTGTGTGTGTGTGTGTGTGTGGTGTGTGTGTGTGTGTGTGTGTGTGTGTGTGTGTGTGTGTGAGAGAGAATGTGGAGAGCTGCCTGGACGCTGCAATCATGTTGCGCGCACTATCCGTGCTGAGTGTGCTGACTTTTCGTACAATGTCCCACTGTCTGGCTACCTGCATAAAGTCAAGTGCTCGGCGCAGTTGTCGGCGAAATGTCATTGAAACAGCTCCTTATATCCGTTAGCGCAGCTAGCTAGCACCAGATGCTAACAACAACAACAGGTAAGGTGTGCCTCGCTCGCGCGAGTCGCGCCACACATACACACATACACACATACACACATACACACATACACACATACACACATACACACATACACACATACACACATACACACACACCCTCCCGGTCCTCCCGATGGCCAGTCCGGGCCTGCCGGTGAGCGTGGAAGTGTGATCTGCCACAAGCGGGCGGCAGGTGCGGGGCTGTAAGCATCAGCTTGTAGATGGTATTTTAAACTCGATGCGCTCTGAAACTACGGGGCGGCCGAGGACAAAAAATACACATGCGTTAATCGCGTTAAAATAATTAGTGGCGTTAATTTTTTTTTGCGTTAACGCGTTATTAACGCGTTAACTTGACAGCCCTAATAAATACAAATAAATGAGACCAAAATTAATTGGATCAAATATGTTGCAGTGCACTGTCACAACCTAGCAAAGCAAAATAATTGTTTTTTTCGTAATTGTGGCAGGCCAAAATCGTAATTGCGATTAAAATACGATTAATTGCACAGCCCTAGAACAATGCAATACAAAAGTAATACAGCATTTACATTTTTGTGTGTATTTGTTCCTCTCATTTAGCTTTCATCTTACTCGGAACATAAACAATAGAAATAGATGGGAAATAAGAGTTCCTTACCAACCAATAATTACATTAACATTGAAAATAAGGCCTTATTTAAAAGCCTTAAACATGAATTCAACATTAATTAGGAAAATATTGTCTCCTAAATCTTTGTTCATAGATTTTCTTGAACTGAACAAATATATATTATATCACCCTTGGCCTTTAAATCTTTTTATAGAGAATTCTAAAATCTATAAGTTTGAATAGAAATGACAAATGTAATTGTAATGGTTCTTTGTCAGTGTAACTTATACTTTACTTTTTCTTACTTCAGACACATCATCTATTGCAATGTGTTTAAAACCAGACATAAAAAAAGAAATGGGGTCACTGCTAAAAACAGAATATGAATAGCAAAAACAGTAATGTGCTTTAAGAGACATAAAGGATGCCTGATTTATAACTAGGTCAAAATGCACAAAACCACAAGATTTGAGAAAAAACACTGAGGATGTTCGTGTCTCTTCATCAAGATGTTCATGTTTTTTTAATGACAGGGTCATGAGGATGAGGTGTTTGTCCTGGAGCCACACCCCTTTGATCCCAGGATCCTGTTCTCAGCGGGGCATGATGGGAACTGCATTGTGTGGGACCTGGCCAGAGGAGTGAAGATCCGCTCTTATTTCAACATGGTGAGACCCTCGGCCACCCTGTGTGTCTCATTGCCTCTCACTCTCTGCGTTATCTCTGACTGAATTCACTACATCCTGATTTGGTCCTCCTCACATGTGAAACAGAGGTCTTGTTTTCTAATGCAGTAGACGGATAAGCTTTCAAAATAAGTCTTTACCTCCTTTTCCCACAACACATTTGTTTTCCTTTCCTTTCTCAGTGTCAGTCTTTCTCTCATTATTTCCCTCTCACTGTTACCCCCCTCCATCATTGCTTTCACTTTCTCTTCTCTTAGCTTTCGTACCTCTCTCACTTCCACGCTGGCATTTCCTCTTCCATTTAATACACTGTGTGTGGCATGAATGCAGGGTAGAGCTAAATCTTGACACCACACTGAAGCACAGTGTACATATTCACCTAGGGGTTTAATCATTGCAGACACTGCTGTATTTCCTGTGTATCTATGGTTACCAAGTGAGGTATTAATCACAGTCCGGGAACAAGTGACTCACTCTGTGTGCTGTTTAGTGGATTGTGTTGTTTGATGACACCAAGTGTGATGGGAAATGGCACACATTTAAATCTGAAACTAATAATGAAACGTTTGCTATATAGCGGCCCCTGTTGAGGACATAAGAGACTATTATAGGATTAGGGTGAAAGCTAAATATCAATAAATGTAGTGTTAATGTACAGTATTGTAAGAGCAGCACAGGTAGAAAGGAATCATAAGAGTTAACTATCTGACTCTAAAGTGAGCCACCATGAGATACAGCACAACGTCTGTTGAGTTTATTTAATTGACTTTAATTAGTTTCCATTTACATGAGGAAGAATGTGCTCTTTTTCTCTTAAAAGTAACAAAGTCTTGCAACTCAAATATCTAATTTCCCTTCTGTGGAAGTGTTCGCTAGGCACATCTTTCCAGAAATGTCCTAAATGGGTAATACTCTTTCTTATCCAGAGGTGGGAGAAGTACTCAGTTATTGTACTTAAGTTAAAGAAGAATTATTCTTATAATGATTGATCATTAAAGTGTTATCACAACTGGTAAAGGTGCAGCTAGTTTTAATGAGGCGTGTGGCGCAGTGGGTAGTGCGTTGGTGTTCGGTTCAGGGGAGCACAGGTTCAAACCCCACTGCAGTCAGCATGTTGTTGTGTCCCTGGGCAAGACACTTCACCCCAAATTGCTCCTGTGGGGATTGCCCACAGTATTGAGTATGTAAGTCGCTTTGGATAAAAGCGTCTAACAAGTAACATGTAATGTAATGTAATGTAATGACTTTTATACTGCAGGGTAGCTTGTGAATTTACTCCAGGTGGAACTAAAGTCTGATTTAAGAGTTGATTATATCTCATCATTAATCCAGATCTGTAAAGGTATTAAATACATTTAGTGGAGTAAAAGTACACCATTTACCTCTGAATTGTAGTGAAGTAGAAGTACAAAGTAGCATAACATGGAAATACTCAAGTAAAGTACAAGTACCTCAAAATTGTACAGTTCTAGAGTAAATGTACTATGTTACTTCCCACCTCTGTTCTTGTCGTACTATATTTTGTCTTTGGCCGCTAAAGGAAAAGAAAGTAGTCCCATGTGCCCAAAGAGTAAATAAAGTATGCAAGGAGAATTCATCCATTTAAAAAAATATGGACTTTGACCATTAATGAAAGTATTTTTAATTTGATTTTAACATTTAAAACCTACACAGTACACACAACACTCAATATGATATTTGTGCAAAAACTGGTAAATGGAGCCGAGCATTGAAGCCAGTTCAAGCCGAGTTGCCTGTTACTTTTACATGGGACATATCTTCTCACTGCATCATGTAACGAACATGACGATGTGTTGAAACTAGGGCTGTCAGTCGATTAAAATATTTAATCGCGATTAATCGCATGATTGTCCATAGTTAATCGCGATTAATCGCAAATTAATCGCACATTTTTTATCTGTTCTAAATGTACCTTAGAGGGATATCTTTCAAGTTTTTAATACTCTTATCAACATTTGAGTGGACAAATATGCTTTATATGTTTGTTTATTATCATTTGAACAATGACAAATATTCTCATGAATATTAAACACAACAACCTGAACATTACAAATATTCGCCTCAATTCAACCTGGAACCTCTCTCATACAATAATACTGTGTGTGTGTGTGTGTGTGTGTGTGTGGTGTGTGTGTGTGTGTGTGTGTGTGTGTGTGTGTGTGTGTGTGTGTGTGTGTGTGTGTGTGTGTGTGTGTGTGTGTGTGTGTGTGTGTGTGTGTGTGTGTGTGTGTGTGTGTGTGTGTGTGTGTGTGTGTTGTGTGTGTGTGTGTGTGTGTGTGTTGTGTGTGTGTGTGTGTGTGTAGACACTGTGATGAATCGTTGGAGCTATGTGCAGCTCAAGGCATATATGCTCGAATGGGAGCTGCCTGGACGCTGCAATCATGTTGCGCGTACGATCCGTACTGAGTGTGCTGACTTTTCGTACAATGTCCCACTGTCTGGCTACCTGCATTAAGTCAAGTGCTCGGCGCAGTTGTCGGCGAAATGTCATTGAAACAGCTCCTTAAATCCGTTAGCGCAGCTAGCTAGCACCAGATGCTAACAACAACAACACGTAAGGTGTGCCTCGCTCGCGCGAATCGCGCCACACATACACACTCCCTCCCGGTCCTCCCGATGGCCAGTCCGGGCCTGCCGGTGAGCGTGGAAGTGTGGTCTGCCACAAGCGGGCGGCAGGAGCGAGGCTGTCAGCATCAGCTTGTCGATGGTATTTTACACTCGATGCGCTCTGAAACTACGGCGGCCGAGGACAAAAAATACACATGCGTTAATCGCGTTAAAATAATTAGTGGCGTTAATTTTTTTTTGCGTTAACGCGTTATTAACGCGTTAACTTGACAGCCCTAGTTGAAACCAACTCTCACTGCTCATTCTGACTTTGCCAAGTCTGCAGCAAAACTATTACAAGTTGTTTCAGATCAGTACTTCCTTTTTTGATTGAAAAGGGGAAAAAGATGCTCATTCTTATAAAACGATCTCTTTCTGTGATTGAATGAAGCTTTTATAAGAGTGAAGAAGTACCTACGGCACAAACTAAAGGCCCCCGTTTTTTTTTATGTTGAGGAAGTTTCAGTTTCTGCAGGTGTTGCTTTGACATTACTGACATGTTGAGTCAAATGTGTCCAGTTTTTACCATTGTTAAGGTTGCTTGGAATTCCCCTTGAAAATCCTACTATGATTTACCGTGTGCCTCCATTTCCCTATCTCCCTATCTCTCCCCCCCCTCTGTGGATAGATCGAGGGCCAAGGGCACGGAGCGCTGTTTGACTGCAAATGTAGTCCAGATGGGCAACATTTTGCAGCCACAGACTCCCATGGACACCTGCTCATCTTTGGCTTCGGCTCCAGTAGCAGATATGACAAGGTAATGCAGCAGGCTTTTCTCTTTTCCTTTTCCCTTCAACCTGTCTCCTAAACTTCAAAAGGTGAACAGAAAAACAATAAGCAGATACAAAACATTCAAAATAAAAACTAATTGAGAAAGAAAATACAGGCAATAGTTTTTCTCATGGTTTTCTCAAGACAAAGAAAATAAATATATATAAATACATAAAAGAAAACACTGTTATACCCATTGTGTTGAATCTAGGCATCACTGTAAAAGCCCAAGGGGAGGATCGTGAGCCTCATATAAAGAATACATTAGGAGCAGGGGGATATCAAATCAAATGGTAATAATGAATGTATATCATGTACTGATGCTAGATCCAAAATGTGATTGAAAAAGCAATATGGACTAGTGTTTTATTCCAATTAAAGGAAGCAGAATATTTGTTAAAGGCTTAATATGTGTACAAATATGTTGTTGGGTAAGGACTTTCTTAAAAGAAGTCACACCATAATCATTGCATTTTTTTTAATTGATAATAATCATAAATCAGAAGGTGAGGAAAACTCACCAGGTTTAAAATAAATTAAATTACACTAGAAAAGCTTCAAATGTAAACCTATTTTATATTTATACACCTACATGCAATGTATAATGTAATTTACTAACATAATTGTAAATGAAATAATGAATACTTCTCTCCTCATTAGAATCCTATTGAGTAAATGCTCCATGTTTATTCTCCCGTGCTTCAGATTGCCGACCAGATGTTCTTCCACACCGACTACCGGCCGCTGATCAGAGACGCCAACAATTACGTGCTGGACGAGCAGACCCAGCAGGCGCCCCACCTCATGCCCCCTCCCTTCCTGGTGGATGTGGACGGAAACCCCCACCCCCCCAGATACCAGCGGCTGGTACCCGGCAGGGAGGGCTGCAGGAGCGAGCAGCTCATCCCGCAGATGGGGGTCACTTCCTCAGGTACAGAGGCTTAAAGAAGAACTCAGACCCTCTGGGAGTATCTCCTCTCGGCGTGATCTGAGGGCAAGAACTCAGTTGTACTTCTACGCTTTCCCTCAGATCACATCTTTACCTGGGGGCCTTCTGTCAGCTGATCAAAGGCTCTTTTGTCTAGCAGATCACACCGCTCTTATAGCCTGACAAGAGTTTTGATCTCTTCTCAAATGTGCTTAATGAGACGCTTTAACTGAAACAACACCGAATTGGCAATTCAAACCTGAATAATAAGGCAGTTTAAAGTCTTGGCAGGGAGGCAAACAGGAGCAATTGTTTATGAAAAGCATTAATAGCGCACCGTGGAGGCAGGTGAAGATGCAAGAGGGGAAAGATGATTTTATTTTGAGACAAAATGACTCCATGTTTCCCAGTTACAGAATACTGCCCTGCTGTCGGCAATTAAAAAGCCTCGACTAGAAATAAAAATGAATGCAATGGAGAAATGTGTACATCCAGTTGTTATGAGACATTTGCGGTTGATGGTCTCATCTATCTTTCTGGTTCTCTTCTCTCTTAACTCCAGGCCTGAACCAAGTGGTGAGTGAGCAGGCGGCGGAAGGGCCCAGTCCTCTGGATTCCATGATTCAGAGGCTGCAGCAGGAGCAGGACCAGAGACTGGGAGGCAATGACACCAGGTCCAACAGAGGTAAGACTGCGTCATGACAGGAAGCTCATTCTGCTGGAGTGTCGGCAGCGTCTCAAAAGCAGCCTTTGTTTCCACCTGTATGGGTAGAGCAGCAAGGACATTATCAAAATTGTGTGTTGCTAACTTCATCTTTAAAGCAGGTTTAAACAAGCTGAGAAATATTTGCTACCATTATAGACACATGCATTTCCTAACATTCGGTCTACCTACCTATGCTGTAAAATGTATTATCTCTTCGATTTACACACGGCATCTATTGCACGTCTGTCCGTCCTGGGAGAGGGATCCCTCGCCTGTTGCTCTCCCTGAGGTTTCTCCCATTTTTTCCCTTTAAACTGTGGGGTTTTTTCTCCGGAAGTTTTTCCTTGTACGATGTGAGGGTCTAAGGACAGAGGGTGTCGTTTTTTCTCATACTGATATTCTGAACAAACTGTGCTGTTGTATTAGCTGTAAAATGTCTTTACTGTAGGGTATTTTTATTATTTGTACAGCACTTTGGCTCGACCAAAAATCGTTTATAAATGTGCTATATAAATAAAACTTGATTTGATTTGATTTGATTTGAAAGATGCAGTCAGCATTACCAACTATAATTGTACCTCCCCCAACATGTAACTACAGGAGAGAAAGTGGTAGAATAAATTATAACTAAAAATTAATTAATTAATAAAAAGCTATAAAATATATATAATAAATAAATCATAAAACTCACACCAAATTGTATAATGTACTGTGTGAAAAGTGCAACTAGCAAAACAATTAGAATAATATTTAATTTATCAAATTAACAAAAAAAAATTAAATTTGGAGTTTGATTTGTTCAAATGTAATTTGCAAAAATCATTATTTGCAAAAGTGCCAAAAAATGTAATTCATTGATTTGTCTATCAACACTATTCGGGAACTATCTCTTTCAATTATTAATGGTTAAAGTGTCCAGTAAACAAATCAAATATTTGCTGGTTCCAGGTTCCCAGAGCTTTCTTTGTCATAGGTGAAAGAGACGGAATGTATTTTGCAATCGAAATAATTCACATTATTCTGACACTTAAGCGATAAAACAATTGGTCTAGTGATGCTCACACTAATTGGCATATTAATCGTTTATCAATAATCTTGAGTTCCAGACAATTTAATCCTTACATGCTGCTGACAAATTGAAAGCTCTGTTTTATGTTCTCTGTCTTTCTCTCCTCTCTCCCCTCAGGATCCGTGGGTTCTCCCACAGAGGTGCACTCCCCGCCCAACGTGGGTCTGCGGCGCAGCGGGCAGATCGAGGGCGTGCGCCAGATGCACAGCAACGCCCCGCGCAGCCAGATGGCCACAGAGGGAGACCTGGTGGCCTGGAGCCGCAGGGTGCTGGTGCCTGAGCTGGAGAACGCCTCCGTCAGGTAACACACGCTCACAGAGAGGAAGAGTTTCCGGAGGTGATCATATTAAAGCAAGCCATGACGTGTGTGTGTGTCTGTTTCTTGTGTAGGAGACAGATTACCTGGCGTGAGGCTAAAGGAGAGGAGGAGATCAATATTTATCAGTCAGAAAGGAGGAGACGCACCATCCACTCCCTCCCTAAGGAGAGCAGGGTGAGTGAACTTACACACATTACTTTTGTACAGGAACACAATATTTATATCACTTTTTTTCATTCATGACTCTTTAATTTATTTAGAGATTCTTGTTGAATTGTTCTTCAGGTTAATCCGACATCAGAGTCAGTGGATGAGGGAAGGAAGAGCCAGGGTAACCACGGATACCACACGCGCGCCGCTATGGAGGAGACCAGCCGACAGAGCGCAGAGGCTGCTGATGACGATGACAGCGCCTCAGAGGTAGAAAAAAATGGTTACTGTTTTCTTTTGAATTCAGTTTCATATTTGATGGAGCTTTAGTAAGCCCTTTTCTAAAACACAGGTGACTCTGAATAATAGATCTGTGTTATACAGGTCCATTCCAGGGACTTTTATCAGGCAGTAAGATCTTTTCTTTATTTTGATTCATTTTGTTGGCTCTTCTGATTTGGTAATTTTACACTGGTTCTCTTCCAGCCCAATTTCAGATTAGCAGATTTCTCCACAAACCCTCTGTTCAGACTTTGCTAGCATGTTAACCTTTAGCTGCCCCTAGGGACTTTAGCACTTAGAACTATTATGGAATACTAGTACATTTAAATGTAAAACGTAGTTAGATAGAAAAATCTAACCAATTTCAAAGGTTCTTAAAGAAAATTCTTTATAAAGTTCAGATAAAAACTGATATCTCTATGTGTGTAAACGTGAGTTTACATGTATGAATGAATTAAATCTTACACTGATGACTTACACTAACTTCTAAGATGTAAGCTTATAGATTTTTTGGTTAATTTGGTAATTTACAGTGGTAAAGAATCCAATGTTTTCATCGCTTTAGTCTATACCAGGGGTGTCAAACTCAAATACACAGTGGGCCAAAATAAAAAAATCGGTACTAGTCGAGGGCCGGACTGGTTCAATGTTTATTGCAAAACGAAATGAACTTATTGTACATATTAAACCTGGAACTAACAAAACTTAAATTATTGCCTATAAAAACAACATTAAACATTAAATAATCAGTTGCATTCATTTCTTATGGCTCTATCTGCAGCTTTTCCAGAGTCATTTCTTATGATTACATTTTTCCACAGGCCAACAACAGCTTCAAAAAAACTATTTCCCTCAAAGAGAAAACCAAACATGCCCTGTTGTCGCAAGAAAGAAAGTGCAGTACATAGTACATCCACTAAAACTCAGTGTGCTGCTCTGTGATGCTAGTTCAAGCAGATACTTGGCATCTCATCTTGGGTGCAAGGTCATCAATGTTTGGGGTCAGGCTCTGAGCTGAGGAAATCCTCAGGATGGAGTGAAGGTGTGCGTGCTATATACCGGCGGGCCAGATCTAATAGTAATGAAAAATGATCCTGTGGGCCGAAATTAAATCCACCAAGGGCCTTGAGTTTGACACATGTGGTTTAAGTAATTATTGTTAACCTTGGGGGTTCTAACATAAAACAATATGGGTTCCCAGGGAGAGCTGGATGTTCGTCAAATCAATGGGCATTCCTCCGATGAGGAGAAGGAGGAGCAGCAAAAAGAGCCCTGGCCGGAAGACCACAGTAGTTCAAGGTAAGACACAGTCCTGTTTATCAAACACATGAATCATATCTCCTACAGAAACATGCACACACCACATAGAAACAGAAACACAATCACATACATCTGTGTATTTCATCTTCTCTGTTGATGTGTTCACAGTGACTACTCCAGTGATTACTCCGATTGGACAGCCGACGCAGGGATCAACCTTGAGCCGCCTAAGAAGAGTGTGAGAGTGAAAAAGAAAAGCAGCAGCTCAGAGGAAGACGGAGAGAAGAAGAGGGACGGGAAGAAGGATAGAAAGAAGGACAAGGTCGACAAAGACGACGCAGTACCAAAGAAGAAGCAGCCAAAGGAGAAGAGGAAGGTTAGTCAATAGTTATAATCATTATTTGTTAGTGGGTTTTGCAATAGCATACAATTGTGATATCAGAACAAAAATGTAGGAGGAACAATTTTCACTGTAAATATAAAAATCAACAATTCAAATATTGCTGAACACCAAAGTAACTAAGGCCATAAACTAATTAAAGAAAACAGCTGACACAAATACTACTACTAATTATAAATAAAAAAACAGCAGCACTTCCTCCTCCCAACGACAATCCCAATGTTGGTGCCATTCCAAAGTGCAAAACTTTAATCAGGAATGATGAGGAAATGTATCCTCTTAGCAAATTGGAAAAATGGGCCCCATGTTTTCCCAAATGCATTTGAACAGCTGTTCCGGGAAAATCTGATCTTTAACTTCAATAAAAAACATTTTATCCAGTGTGTTTCAGATGGTAGCTTTCCATTTATGAAATAATTCTTTTTTTTACCTATCATCCATTTGCACTAATACAATGAGACAGTATTTTAAAAGCAATTCATAAATCACACAAATAAATGAAAAGGCTGAATATTCCACCTCAAATCTATCAAAGATCTGTACCTGAATATGTGTTTCCTTGTGTGTCATTCAGAGGTCAGATCTCCAGGAGCAAGGGCTAACTCTGGAGGAGTGGCTTCCCTCCGCCTGGATCACGGACACGGTCCCCCGCAGATGTCCTTACATACCCCAGATGGGAGACGAGGTACACGCCGCCTGCTTCTGTTACACTAACCTCACCACATGTCTGCTAATACCAAAACACTGGCTCATGTTTAACATAGCAACAAGAATAGTCTGCACCAAAGTTAGCGTCCCCCCGAGGCTGCATCTGCCATTACATACACACACAAAAAAGGGGCACATTGACATTGCTATCCTAAGCAGATACTCAATTCCAGAAAAAATGTGCATAATGTCCAGAAATATGAATAAGACACAATGAAAATGATGTGTGTTTGTTTGCAGTTATACTACTTCAGACAGGGCCACGAGGCCTACGTGGAGATGGCCAGACAAAAAAAGATTTACAGCATCAACCCTAAGAAGCAGCCCTGGCAAAAGATGGAGCTACGGGTAAGGAACTGATGATTTTAAACTTTAGTATTGTTTGAAGAAGCAAAACATAAATAGACCACATGGCTGGTCACCTATCCATTCATATGAACTATTCACATCTTAAACTGCACTGTAACTTTTATTCATGTATGTTTTCTTTGAATGTTTCTTTTATTATCTTTGCTTTTTAATGACTGTTTTTAAATGCCATTTTCTTAATGTCTTTCATTTTTGTAAAGCACTTTGAATTGCCTTGTGTTGAAAGGTGCTATATAATTAAACTTGCCTTGCCTTGCCTTACACATGTTATAAAGATGGAAATACATGTCAGGTAATACAGTAACAATCAGTAAAAGGGTCAAAAACAAACGATGCAATACTCATTTATCAACATGTTTCTTTAGCGCAAAAGTATTTATCTCCATACTCTCCATATCTCCAGTCAGTGTATTACGGTTGTAGGCAGTCCAAGAAAAAATCTGCAAGGGGCTTAATACGGGACTACACGCATTGAAGCGCACATACAAATCTCCTCCATTACTTGCGTGCGTTTGACCATTTATTCTTCCACAAAACAGGTACAATACATTCCAATACCAGTAAGTGTGGGTGTAATGGCGAGTGCAAGTGGAAGTGCGATGGATATTGATGTTAAAAATTGCAGTCAACAGAAAATGTTGCTTCCCCACTCACTGTCCACTCTCTCTCCATGCAAAACCAAAGTGAGCAGGTGAATGTAGCCAGGTTAAACCACCACTACATTTGCCCTAAGCTCCAGCTCCACCACCAATAACGAGTACAAAATTACTTATATTTGGCTGTTTGTTGGAGGTTCGGTCTTGGTACATGTTCATATGACCCTTTCTGCTAATGAAGTCTAATATCTGGGTAAGGAACAGATTGACTTTGTCACATTAAAAACCCTGAAGTATCTAGAGACTCATATTGTCTCTTTATGTGTGCACTCACACCTTACACTAGGAAGAACCATTTAAAAATATCAGAGAAGAGCCAGAAATCAATACAGTACACTTGACACATAGGAATAATTTTTTTACAGTTGAATTAATAGCAAATCATTAAAAACATAAAATAAATATGTTCAGACACATCTTTTTTTTGATGATGTTTTCAAAGTAAGAGCTTAAAAGGTCAGGGTAGTGGAGCTAAAAATAGAATGACACACATTCTCCATGGGAATGCATAGCAGGAATTGAAGCACAGTTGCAAGCTACAATGGTCTAAAATCCACACAAAGTATTAGAGTGCTAACAACTTAGCAATATTATTCCTTCACTACTTTCCTTTAAACTTAAATCCCTTTTTTTCCAAACTAAAAATATACTACTAAAAGAGAAATGTCTGCAGAGAACATCTTTTGATCCCTGTAAATGAAATAGATTTAAAAAAAAAAAACATTAAAGTAACAGCTTAAGGGATTGCAGTTACACTTGGTATATTTCTGTTCCCATGTGTGGAGACATAAATAGAAATTCCTTTGCAGGAGGCGGACCATAATGCATTGCAGGGCGCAGTGTGCACCTTCAGAATATATTGCTGTAGTTTGTAATGCAGGTTTCTCTTCTGTATCTTCTACTTTTATTTGAACAAACAGACATGGCGACAATAAAGCATTATTCTCTTCAGCCTCAACCTCTAAGCATACATACTACACAAATACTTAAAGAAATGCTATCAGTAAAGTGCTTTGGACTATGTTCCAATGATGTGATTTCTTTACCCGAGAGGAAATGATTTGTATTCATTTGCATAATTTCTTCTTTTATTTGTGGTCTACAGGAGCAGGAGTTGGTGAAGATAGTGGGCATTAAGTATGAGGTGGGTCTGCCCACTCTGTGCTGTCTGAAGCTTTCCTTCCTGGACCCCGACAGCGGCAGACTGACCGGAGGATCCTTCTCTATGAAGTAAGACCCCACCCTGTCTAAAAAGCTAGAAGATCAAGTGTTACAAGATGAACTAGTGTTTGAAAAATGTTGCTTGCTTCTGAAGCATCACAGCGCTACTGAAACTATTCTCCATAAATCTATGAGCTCGGTTTGAATGTCATATTTATATTCCTAATGAACTCAAGACAATAGCTATTAAAAATGTTATTTATTAATCCTGACTGACATTATAAAGTAAATGCTGTTATGGGAATGATAAATCGTTACTACAAAGTGTGTGTCTCATCTATTTTACACTGTCTTAATGATTCTTATTTATCTATTCTTAAAATGCTTTGTTGCAGATCTTGACTTATTGTGTATGTGTTTGTCTTGCTGCAGATACCACGACATGCCTGATGTCATCGACTTCCTGATTCTGCGACAACAGTTTGACAACGCCAGAAAGAGGCAGTGGAGTATAGGTCAGCCAGATGTTGCCTGTGTAGTTTCTAGGTCAAGTTTCTCAGTGTTCTGTTGCAACCATCTAAACGTGTGTGTGTGTGTGTGTGTGTGTGTGTGTGTGTGTGTGTGTGTGTGTGTGTGTGTGTGTGTGTGTGTGTGTGTGTGTGTGTGTGTGTGTGTGTGTGTGTGTGTGGTGTGTGTGTGTGTGTGTGTGTGTGTGTGTGTGTGTGTGTGTGTGTGTGTGTGTGTGTGTGTGTGTGTGTGTGTGTGTGTGTGTGTGTGTGTGTGTGTGTGTGTGTGTGTGTGTGTGTGTGTGTGTGTGTGTGTGTGGTGTGTGTGTGTGGTGTGTGTGTGTGTGTGTGGTGTGGTGGTGTGTGTGTGGTGTGTGTGTGTGTGTGTGTGTGTAGGGGACAGGTTTAGGTCGGTCATTGACGATGCCTGGTGGTTTGGGACCATTGAGAGCCAGGAGCCCTTCCAGCCTCAGTATCCTGACAGCCTGTTTCAGTGCTACAACGTCTGGTATGTTACTCTGTTTCAGGCTGCAGTTGAAAGCACTGCAAAATTGAATTTGATGTAATCAATCTATTTATTTGCATCAGCAAGGAGATTCACTCCTAAAACAAAGAGTTCCTAAGCCATACCGATGCAGCTAGCAACAAGTGCTCTGGTTAGCACAACAAGCCAATTCCATTGATGTATTATGATATTTTAATATTGAATGCATGTTTGAATGTATTCATCACCTTCAAACGACACAAAACAATGCAACATGATATATGTTAAATAAATGTGAGCCGCTCTATCGAAATCAGTCGGAAGTCGCAACGGCTCATTTCAAAATAAGCGTGGATTTGGGTAAAAAAATAGTTTTTCGGGGTTCGGGTGTTTTGTTTGATTTTAAACAAACAAAGTCTTGGCTTTCAGAATATGAAACTTTTATTTCCAAAATCTCATGATAAATACATTTTTGAAGCTTGTAAAGGGAAGATGACAGCTCTCACTCGCCACTCTGCTGTTCCACAGCGCCGCTCCCCCTCCCTCCGGCTGAAATTATGAATGTAAGGCGTATAGTAATCATAGATAACACGGCAGGGTCCGTTACAGTTTGTTTTCATCTGATTTCAAATAAACAAAGTCTCGGCTTTCAGAATATTAAACTTGTTTCGGATTCAGATGATAAATACAACGTTGAAGCTTGTAACGGCAAACACACACACACACTTGCGAGGTTCCCCCAGACCAGTAATCCAAACGAAAATATCTTCCCTCCGTAGTGTTTTGATCATTTGCTCCGCTAATAATCAATCAGATCGATGGATTCCAGAGAAGAGGAAACTTTAAAGGCCTTTTTCTCAAAATGATGACTCGGTGACAGTAATTATATAATGTGACATATTTTGCTTAATATTTGGAGTACAACAACAATCCTGATATCATTAGAAAGCTCCTCTTTCCAACGATGTATACAACTCAAAATGTGTCTTCGGGTCAATGCGACTGATTTCGATGGAGCAGGTCACAAATGTTCAATGCTACCCTACCATGAAACAAACCCTATAATGTGCTCTGTATGGTTCATAATCAACAAGCACTCAGTTACGAGGAAGTTAAAGAATACATGTGGATGGAAAGGAGATGAATCCACAGGGTTGAGAACAATTTCTTTTTTTAAGTTTGACTTTATCAATCACTCAAGTTGGCAACAGCAAAAGTGTCCTGGAATTGAATGAGTCTTTAGATTGTAATAATGAAGAATGTGAGAACCAATTTCATTAAAAAGGTTTACATGTAACAGGAATGTGTGTATGGAAATATTTCAGGCAAATGTAGAGAGATAGCTCCTTGCGATGCCACCGTTGACACAACACTGATTTTCTGCACAAACACCTCATGGATTGAATCATTGAAGAAATCGATGACAGATTGAATTTGACATTAATAGCAGGCCATCTAACACTGCCCTTTGTTTTGCAACGCTCTATTTTCATTGTCAGTGACATTCCAATTGTAAACATTAATGAGCATATTGTCTGCTTGTATTAGTTTTCCTTATCAACATGGAGTGCTGAAGATCACACAATATTTGAAAAGCCTCGTTAGAGAATGACACCCACTTTCGGCTGTGGCAGAGGGACGTCAGTGCTGGCAATACGTCATCTATCAAATAAAAAGCCTACAATGTGATTATGTTAATAAATCATATCAACTGTTTCCCATCCAGCTGGGATAATGGAGACACAGAGAAGATGAGTCCGTGGGACATGGAGCCCATCCCTGATGATGGTAGGTCACTGTAATACTCCCACACTTCAGTGAACACACATTTAAAAATATTCAATAGTCATTTATTTTATTAATTCAACAGTTTACAACTCTGATGTTGTTGGTTTTTGGGGTTTCTTTTTCTTTCCTGTGAAGCCACGTTCCCTGAAGAATTGGGCATGAGCGTCCCGCTGGTGGAACAGGAGCAGAAGGAGCTGCTGTACGTCCCTCTGGAGGGGGAGTGGGGCTGCCACACGCGCGCAGAGGAGTGTGAACGCATCATCAAAGCCATCGACCAGCTCTGCACACTCGGTGAGATGAAAAATCTAAAATGCATAATTTTCCTCTCTCCTGTTGAACTTTTAATTGATTGGATTTTGTGTATGTAGCTGAATCTTGGTGAAATCAGCCCTAGACATGTCAGGCTTCTCTGAAAATAATGGAAGTAAATGGGTCTCTGGTCTTGTGTTGCTCAGAGTGCAAACAAACAAACATTTGATAGACATTAGTGTCTCTTTTCAGAAACCATGACCCGGTTACTCAAGATAATCAGAAGGTGTTATTGTGAGCAATTTTACGCAGGAACTATTTTCTTTTTTTAATGAACTACAACTGTATCCCTGCACCAGTGGAAGGGTGCATTTACTGAGATAGATAACTTTACAACTCAGCTGAAGAAGACGTCATTAATGTTTACACGTCGCATTTTTAACAAGCCTCGCAAGTAAACTTCCTTCTACACGTAAATGCGTTTGATGGGTGAAGTTCGCTGGGAAGAAAATAGTTCCTACATGAATCTGCTCATGTAGGAACAACGTCCTGTGGATTATCATAAAAAACAGTTCATGATTTCTGAAAAGAGACATTGCCTTTTAGTTTTTCAAATGTATTTCAGACATCTCTATGGCATACTATCCAACACTAAAACAATCTAGAATAATAAAAATCATATGAAAAATATGTTTTGTTTAGTTTTTTTAGGGGTGTACTGTCCCTTTAAACCCCTGTGAAAACAAAAAGCCCTTATGTCAAAGGCAGGGATGTGAAGTAAGGCCACGAGGGCTCACTTCTCGTAAAGCAGGGCAGCATGACTCCACACTACATGAGTCACCGCTCTGAGTTCATCAGCAGGAACACAGCTCGTATGTTAAAAGGAACGAGCCGCTAACAAGTCGAGCCACAAATTGAGCTGCTTGCTAGAATTCCTGTTAAATGCTGTAATGCCATATAAAGGGATTGTATTACTGCAATCCTCTCAAACTGGTGTGAGGGCTCCCTCTAGTGACAGTCTGGGGATTAAACACAAGCTCAATAAATCCTTCTAGATCTCTCCCTGTTACTCCTACGCTCCGTGCTGCAGTCGGTTTACAGGACAGGCTTTATATAACTCTTTAGGTCCAGCTATATTTAGGAAATAATGCTCAGAATAAGTAGGAACATCTTAAGAATAGGGGATAAATGTGTGAGGCCAGTATTGCTCTGAAGACAAGTCAAGGTACTAACATTAGCACAGGTAGCATAGATGAATGTAAACAGATGTTATAAAGTTACACATAAATAACAGTCCTAAGTTTCCTGAGGATATTTATGTAGTAAGTTGCAATTCCATATATTAAAAAGATAAGAAATCCACCTTTTTAAGTGTTTACTAAAAGCATTCCCACAAGGTTTTGAACGTTTGGAAGATGCTTAGTGTTAACTGTTATATTTACAAGATAAGGAAAACGCTTGAATTCAACTCTACTCCTTGAACAATGCTTAGTGGTATTTCATCTACACAATCACTCCAAAAATACTAAAGATATTTTTAAAATGTTAAATGAAAAGATTCAAAAATATATTTGATGTCTCGTGGTGTCTCCCACCGGCCACAGAACAGGCAGGAGCTAGCTAAGTATTAAATAAGCATGTTTAAAACGTAGAATTTAAGTCAAAATGAGCAGTGACTGAGCTGAGTGCGTATAAAGGAAAATCCTTTCTTGTAACCGTTTATTTAATTAGTAAAAATGTGATGATAAATGTTCCTAGAGTCTGGAAAATGTTGGTTTAAGTTACCTTTAAAATGCTTAAATCATACTCTTTAAAAGCTGGACGAAGCCTGTCAGTGCTTGTCTCTTACAGCATATTTGTTTCAGTAAACATCTTCACTTTCTTGTGCTTTCTCTTATCTTTCATCCACTAATTCTCCCCCCCTCAGATGTGGCAGCACCATTCGCCTTCCCCGTGGACCTCCAAGCTTACCCCACCTACTGCACGGTGGTGTCTTACGTCACTGATCTCAGCACCATGAGAGAGAGGCTGATGAACCGCTTCTACAGGTACCTCACATCATCTGGTTCTTGAGTCAAATAAGACGCATGAACAGTGTGTGTGTACGAGAGAGAACTAAATACACACTCAACACGTTTGCGTTTCCTTTGCAGACGCCTGTCCTCCCTGATGTGGGAGGTGCGTTACATCGAACACAACGCTCAAGCATTCAACGAGCCCGGAGCGTTCATCGTCACCACCGCCAAGTTTGTCTCTGACCTCATCCTGCATTTCATTAAGTGAGTATACTCAATTCATCCTGGGGTGGCCGGATGAGGTTTTGGGATAGTTGCTCCATTAAAAGGAATATGTGCTGTATATAAACATAAGAAGTTATAGTCAAATCAAAATATTTCTATTAAATATAAGAAGGAATAGACAGATGTTATTACAATAGACAACATAAATAAATATGTGAATACAACAATATGTACAGCGGTGTTATAAAGATGTGGCTTGTATTAACACCTATATTAACACTTGTAAAAAAAACTTCTATTTTTCCACACATTTGCGCAAAGTAATTTCTGCTCTCTCGTTCTTTTTTTCTTCTTCAGGGACCAAAGCATGACAGACATCATGCCCCATTATAAAACTATGAAGAAGGCCACCTTCTCTGACTCCGAGGACGAGGTGCGTTTGTGTATCTGCATGATTACACGCAAATGAAATGACAAGTTGGAGGCTTGGAGGGAGATTACAATATGCTGTAGGTAACCTTTGTATCATTCCCTCTTTTCTATCTATCTAGGATGATGAGGAGGAGGATGAAGATACCAATACTCCTGGAACATCCACGAGAAACCATAAGGTAACATCTGACAACATCGTGTGTTCTCAATTGTTCACATTAGTAGTTGTCCCGAGTCTGCTTGTATTTGCCAGTGAAATCTCTTCTCTTCACTCATATTCTTTTCTTTTTTTTCGCAGGGTCGTCGACCCACGCAGCGGCAACTGCGAACGCGCCCCCCTTCATACGACCCTCATGCGTGGAAGGGCCGCTGTAAGGAGCTGCTGGATCTCATCTTTCAGTGTGAAGACTCGGAGCCCTTCAGAGAACCTGTGGACCTACAGGAATACCCCGTACGTGCTCTTTTTGTTTTTCTTTATGTGATCTCAGTGTAGCTCAATGTACATTTCCATTGGGCTCGGGTTCATTTGCATTTTCTATGACCTTCTTTTGGTCCTTGAATCTAGCTATTCAGTCGGCGTCTGGAAATCCGTTTTGCTTTTGGTTCAGTCTTTTCCCCCGGCCCATTTCAAAGTGAAACCCCAGATCTCTAATTCCTTTTCCCCCGCTTCTTCTCCCCGGCTTATTTGGTTCTCGTCTTTTAAACCTGTAATTGAAATATCCAAACTTCTCTCTTTCGTTCTCAGGACTACCTTCAAATCGTTGACTCGCCAATAGACTTCAGCACCGTCCTCAAAACGCTCAAAGAAGGAAAGTACCAATCTCCCATTAAGCTCTGCAAAGACGTCCGGCTCATTTTCAGCAACTCCAAAGCTTACACACCCAGTAAGAAGTCCCGGGTGAGACACGCACACACAAACACACACACAATCCTTACATCCAGGGTGCTTTAAGCAAAATGTACCATGAAAACATCAATTAAATAACTTGTCCTTTATTTATTCACCAGATCTACAGCATGAGTCTGAGGCTCTCGGCTCTGTTTGAGGAGCACGTCAGCTCCATCCTGGCCGACTACAAGGCCATCCATGGTCTGACAGATAAAATGACCAGGCAGAGCACCGACAGACAGACGAGACACACCACGGACAGACAGACACGGCATGCAATGAAGCGCAGGAGGAGGAGGAGTGAATCTCCAGCAAGCAGCACGGCATCCAGGTAGAACACCGGACATCTCATTTGAGGCTCTTGCTTTGTGTAGATCTGGTTTTTTATGTATTCTTTCCTTCCATCCTACCTCTAGTCCGGAGAGGAAGAGACGTGTATCATCCAGGGTGACTGCGAGAAGGGAGCCGTCGCCGCCCCCTTCACGGCCCCCCTCTCTGAGACAGATCGTCCCCGCCAAACAGCCCCCTCAGCTGGTCAACGGGAAGGCAGACAGTCCAGCAGCTGGACGAACACGGAGTGCGGCACGCCATTCTACACACTCTCCACCCTCCTCATCTTCATCACATAACGCCACTAGCAGCACTCCGAGCGCAGCAGGTGAGATCACTAAAGACATGGAAATGTAGTCGTTTTGGAAAATACATTTCATTGCTTCCTTGCTCAAATCAGATGTGCAACTCTGCTATAGCTACTGTAGCCCGGCAAACTAACAGTGACAACAAGACTCTTGAAAATAGCAAATAAATAGTCCGGCAAGTAGTGCCCTGTAAGACAACTATGTGTTATTCTTATACATGATTTGAATTTGTTATAAGATTTAAATAGCGCCTTTCATGGGACCCAAGGTCGCTTTACAAGGAAAAACAGGAGTAAAAACAAACAAACAAAACAAAAGGCAGTCAGACAATTAGTCAGACAGACAAAACAACAAATAAATTAGGGGCCGAAGGCCTTGGCAAACAGATGGGACTTGAGGGCCCTTTTGAAGGCGTCAAGCGTGGGGATGTTGCGGATCTCCGCAGGGAGAGCGTTCTAGAGGGTGGGGGCTGCCACACTGAAGACTCGGTCCCCGAAGGTTCGCAGGTTGGTCCGGACGGTGGTGAGCAGGCCAGAGTCAGAAGACCACAGGTTCCGGGGTGGGGCATGTGGGCGGAGGAGGTCCGATAAGTACTGGGGGGCATGGGCATGGAGGGACTTGTAGGTAAGGAGGAGGACTTTGTAAGTTATGCGGGACTTGACCGGCAGGCAGTGGAGGTGGATTAGGGTGGGAGTGATGTGCTGCCACGGCTTTGTATGTGTGAGTACCCTGGCAGCACAGTTTTGAACATACTGGAGCCTGTCCAGGGTTTTGTTGGGAACCCCAAACAGGACACCATTGCAGTAATCCAAGCGGGAGGTGACGAAAGCATGGACTAGGGTTCTGCAACCGACTCCGAGAGTGACGGCCTGGCAATGTTCTTTAGATGGAAAAAGGCAGATTTGGTGACAGACTTGATGCCAGTGGCGGCGCCAGATATTTTCTTTTGGGGGTGCTGTGGGGTAGCTTGACATTTCATAGAGGGTGCTCAAACATTTAGGGGTTCCCATCAATGTCCCGGGCGCTACAGTTGAATTTTCTACCGCAACAATCCCCACGCATATACACAGTGTACCCGCGACAGTTACAATGGAGGCTCGATAGTCAGCTCACGGCATATAGGTGTAAGCAGGGGTAAAGTGCTATTTATTACAAGTGGGGGGTGGACCTAACATCCTCTAGGGGGGTCCGGGGGCATGCTCCCCGGGAAGATTTTTTTATGGATATTTTACTAATCACTCTCCCTTTTAAACTGTATTCTTGTTTTACTGCCATATAGTATTTCATACCTGTTTTTCATTTATGCTCTTTTTTTTATACCTATAATGATCATATAAACGTGTGCCTCAGAAATACTTATTTACATTAATCGTGACCAAACCGTTTGAGACCCACTGAGATAACTTGGACTAAAGTTAACTATCTAAACACTGAGAGAGTCCTTTACTTCACCTGAGCTGAGGTTATCTGAGACTCTCAGTCTGACAGGAGAGAGTTCTCCCTCCACCTTGTTGTTGAAAAAGCTCCTTATATCCGTTAGCATAGCTAGCACCAGATGCTAACCACAACGATCTCCGGTACGGTGCGCGCTCGCTCTCTCTCTCGCTCGCGCACGCACACAAAATGGCTCGTGCCTCACACACACACACACACACACACACACACACACACACACACACACACACACACACACACACACACACAGAGCAGAGCTTGAAGGAAACACAGAGACCCAGAAGTAGGCTACTTGTACTGTACTGTAGCATATTATTTTCGAATCAATCCTTTTTCAAATTATGAATTTCACACATAAAGAATAAAAAAGACATACATTTCTTGGGGGTGCTTAGGGGGTGCTATGGCTTTCCTGGGGGGTGCTTCAGCTTCTAGCGCCCCCCTGGCGCCGCCACTGCTTGATGTGGGAGTGGAAGGAAAGGGTGGAGTCAAAGATGACACCCAGGTTGCGGACTTCAGGAGATGGGGACGAAGTCACCAACCTTCTGGAGCAGCGCCTTGGGTGCCACAACCATGGTTTCCTGCTGTTGAGTTTGAGGAAATTGGACGACATCCGGGTTTTTATGTCGTGCAGGCAGTTGACAAGAGACTGAGGGGGGGAGCTGGGAGGATGGAGTAGTGCTGAGATATATTTGGGTATCATCAGCATAGCAGTGGAAGTTGAGTCCATGATGGCGGATGTTATGTTATGTTAAACAGTAAGCTTAAAGGGTGCTGGTACGCAGTATTTGTTACATTCTAAAAAAGCCAGGCAAGTTTTTTCCCCCTGTTTTTAGTCTTTATGCTAAGCTAACCAGCTGCTGGCTTCATATTTACCGTACAGGCATGAGTTGGCTATCCATTTCCCCTCCAACTCTTGACAAAAAAAACAATGTTTATTATCAAGAATTGAACACATGTAAGATGTTAGACAATATACTTCTTTTTTTTGCATATAGAGTCTACTCGCTCCTTGAGGGCTCACACCTCTGTGTCAGCAACGCCACCGGCTCCTGAGAAGCCCTCTCCGGCAGCGGAGGATAGCAGAGGAGGAAGCACCCGGAGGAAACTCAGGACTCCTGTACGACTTGCAGCTGGTAAGAGAAGTGACCATGTAGTGCTTAGGTTAAATATGAAAGTCATAAGATACACATGTAATCTCACATGCCTTCTTTTATTTTATTTTGCCCTGTAAATAAAGGCTCTCCTGCTGGCCCTCCAACCCAGAGCACAGTCCACCTGAATGGCCACGGTAGTCATGTGACCCTGGGAGTGGGGAGGCGGGGGCGTAGATCCAGAGTGGAGCCACCAGTGAGTCCTCCAGAAGTCACGACTCCAGAGAGCCCTTCCAGACCCCGGGGCCGCCCTCCCGGCAAGAAGAAAGGCAGGAAGAGCAAGCAGGACCCGGAGGAGGGGGGGAGGAGAAAGAACCGCAGAAGCTCCACCCCTGATGATGATCCTGATCAATCAACGGGGGACGAAGGCGGGGCGTCTTCAGCGCAGGAAACATCCGTGCTGTCGGACTCTGGCATGCCGTCAACGCCTAGGCGGCGCGGTCGGCCCAGAGCGGTAAGAACTGATGAAGCCCCGCCCCCTGAGGAGAGGACTGGGTCCCCTGAGCCCTCTATGCTGAGGAGGAGCAGCAGGAGAGCCAACGAGGAGGTCACTCCTCCTTCGCAGGCGGCCACTCAGCGACCCAATCGGAGAGAGTCTTCACAGGGAGAGGGAGAGGGAGAGGAAGAGGAAGAGGAAGAGGAAGGGGAAGAGGAAGAGGAAGGGGAAGAGGAAGGGGAAGAGGAAGGGGAAGAGGAAGGGGAAGGGGAAGCGGACAAGGCGGGGGGGTCCATGCGCACACGTAACCAGGGGCGACGGTCCGCCTGGTACGTGGAGGAGGACTCTGAGGAGGAGCAGAGGCAGCTGCTGTTTGAGGACTCGTCAATCACATTTGGCACATCCTCAAAGGGGCGTGTCCGAAAGCTGACGGAGAAGGCCAAAGCCAATCTCATTGGCTGGTAACAGAGCAGATACACAGGAAGTCAGGAGGAGGAATCTGCAGTAGATTTCTCGCATCAGAGGAGGCTGAGTAGACGGAGTCATGATTGAGAAATGCATCCGTGTGTGTGCGTCTGGGGAGCTGCTCGTCCAGCTGCTGCTATTCATAACCGTGGCGATGAAGACACACAACAGCGCACTTATCTGTCCACTCCTCCTAGCTCTGGGCCCAGTGAGCACATCGCTCCACTGAAACGATGGCTTTCTGACAACGCATGTTCATCCTGTTCCAACTCGTCCTGCATTATTGGTCCATGTTGGATCCCACAGGAGCCCACTGACTCCCCTGCTGGTGGTCTCGTTCCTGTCCAGTGAACCACTCTTCACCTCCGTCTGCCCTTAAACACTGTTGGTGTCAGACCGGTCTAAACAGTAGTGGAACGGTTTTAGTACTTGAAAAATAATCATGAGGAGAGCTGGATGTATCTTACTATTTCCTGAGTTTCTCTGGTGGGAAGGTCATATGCCAAGCAAGATGAAATTGTTGGTGACGGATTACAGACAGCTGGCCCGACAATGTCTTTTCCCCACCCCCCCCCCCTTTCTTCTTTGTTCTCGCTTTTTCTTTTATACGACCCTGCCCCTTTCTGCTTTTTCTAAGATTTGTACGTGATGATCGGCTCTCTGTTTCGGAAGTCTTACACACCGGTGAGCGTGTCCGTCTGCGCTAAAATACCAAATGGTGTACCTCTGTTGGTACTGTAGATCTGTAGGTTTTGTTTACTGGTCATGTGTGTGCCTGTGTGTGTGGGGTGTTCATTTTTTGCATGTTATTTAGAAAGAAAAAGCATCTCTTTTTTTCTCTCCTAAAAGCAGTTTTTACTGCGAGGAGGAGAAAAGGGATGGAAGGGGTCATTTATACGTCTCGTTAGATCATGTTTTAAAGAGTCCTCAACATTAGCAATACCTTGTGCCTTTATGTCTTTGGTGTGTATGTGTGCGTGCGTGTGCATGTGTGTATATGCGTGCTTGGCCTCTGCCCTGCAAAGTACATGTGCCTGTATGTGTACGAACAAGTTGTGACTATGCGTGTTTGTGAAATCGGAGTGTGCGTGTTTTTATGACACAACTGAGCGCGTCATTCACTTTCAGCATACAGTTTGATCGTTGTGAAACCTCTCAAAGAAATGTATTTATAGCAGTTAAAAAAAGACTTTACTGTTGTTGTAAAACCATTATCCATGTCAATATATTATCCTATAACCAACACGTTTATACCGAAGGTACGGCCAGGGGGGGGGGCTTTTGGGGGGACTTTGAGATACACTTACCACAGAGCGGTTATCAATGCAGTCGGCGGGAGGGAGTGACCCTGTGTATTTAAAAATATTTACATATGGAACTTTTTAAATGTTGATATGTTTTAATGGTGACCACACACATGCGCACACACATCCACACACAATTCTGTCTCGCATGTTCTAGCACTTTGTCAGGCCTGGAGCAAACAGGATTGAGCCAGGTCAAACTGGATCGGAAAGCCGAGAGCAAGTCGTATTTTCATCTTTCTGATTGTGTGCCTTCGCTACTCTGGCATATTTAATACTCGGTTTCTGCTTTCGGGCCTTTTTTCTGTCTTTTCTTTTGACTTGCTGATTCTGCTCGACTTCCTTCACCTGACAGGCGTGTATAACGAAAGAGAAAAGACTGGAGACAAACATATTGGGTCGCTCGATGGACTGAATTTGTGAAGATGGCGGCATACGCAGTACAGAAAGCTCAAATCAGCCACTGGTGTTGTTGGTTTGGGGAGAACTGGACCGTACCATCTATATACCCCTGGTTCATTTCATTACTCTTTTTGTCACATAATATTGAACGTATATCTCATCTGTTTATCGTTGTTTTGTTGTTATGGATGCCAAATTCTGTGTTTTTGGGCACTGAAGTTTTAGTACATGGCTTTTGAATGTGTTTTATTTTCTGTCTTTTACATATAGTGTGTTTTCTGTCGGTCAGGACCACCATTCAGTGGCTAAATCTGTCGAGTTAGAATGGTTACTGTCAATTATACAATTAACCATTTTTCACTCAGTCTGGCTTATATTTACTTCACAAAAGATTTGTTTATATTGTGTATATGAAGAGTTTTATTCCAGATGGAGAAGCCTAAAACATCTTTCTTAACAAACGATTATTGGCATGGTATAAATACTATTGTTGGGGGTGTGCATTTAAGATAGAAAGTTAATGATCTATACCCAGGAAAATATATATTTTGTGGGAAAAGAAACTCTTTGTGGGCACATAAAGGTTTTGGATCTCAATATCAATATAATCATATTTACATATATGCACAGATTATTATTAGCAGATTGTGGAAACAAGATTTTAGACCCAGGCTTCTCAAACGTTAGGGATGAGCTCAAACATACACAAGCCAACTTAAAAAAACTCATGAATTCAAGTTGTTTGCCGTATTTTACTTAGATGTTCACATTTTGAAACCAGAACAATTGATTAGCTTATCTTGCCCGTACATAGCAGCCCAGTTAAAGGAGTACTTCACCCCCAAGATCACTTTTTGTATATCAGACTCTCACCCTGGGTTACCTTGAATTCTTGTTGAAAAATGGTTTTCCTTGCATGCCTCCATGGTGAACAAAAAAATCTAATATGGAGAAATGTCTCGATTTCTCTGAAGTAAATTGAAGCCGGCTTTAACAAAATGAAATGACATTAAAACATCAGCCTACAAACTCTTCTCGCAACTTGTGCAGTATAAAACAAGTCTCATCCATCCAGTCTTATGCTCACTACTACCCAAACACACATAACTGCTAAACTGTTATATTTAATGCACTTCTGCCAAACAGCCTCACTTTTGTTGTTGTTAAACGATTTGCTTTAAAGGGGCCCTAGTTTCTTTTGGTGGTTTTCCTTTCCTGTAGTGTGTAATATCATTTTTGGTGACTCCATTGGACTCCTTTGTTTACTTTTGTAACATAGTGACATCACTGTGTTACACTAGCGCTTCTATTTGCTGGTTTGCCAACACATTGTACGTGATTGTATAAGGGGCGGACATCTATAAATGGTTCACCAATCACAACCGCTAACCAATCAGAGCAGACTGTGCTCTGGTTTCAGGTGATAAGAGGTGCAGCACTGACAGAATGAGAAAATGAAGGAGCTTTTTGAACATTAAAGCATGGAAACATGTCACAGTAGAGGCACAACATACAAACATGAACCTGTAAGTGAGCATAATAGGGCCCCTTTAACTCATCAGGACTTTTCTCCATTCTTTGATTATTTTCTTTCACCGTGGAGTCATGCATGAAAAAAGTTTTCGTTGATAATTCTAGCTAACACAGGGTTAATATTTCATTAATAAATGGTCATTTTGTGGTTGAAGTTTTTAATAAGATGATGCATGGAGATGTTTTGTTTCCCATTAAAGTTATTTTGCTATCGCCTCATTATCATCAGATCATGCACATTACCTGTATTTATGGAATTTGTCAAAGTTAAAGCGTTGATTCATTACTGCTGGTTACCTTACCCTTGTTAGTAATAATGTACATCCTCTAATAATGTCATAAATGCCTTAAAAGCAAGTCACTGGTTTGTAAGCATCAGTTGGTGTATTCCCACTTGGATATAACCGAAATACTACTTTTTGGAGACATTTTAAATCAATGATTCAGCAGTTTTATCAGCCCTTTTACTCTACCTGTACTGGATTTTGAGGCTCATGTACACACATTAACCGTGGGGCTGTGCTATAATGAGGGACAAAGTTGTTCTGTTTGTGGCTTCTGATTGGATAATAGTTTGGTCAGAGGTCAAAGGTCACAGAGGGTGTGTGAAGTGGCTGCATGTGAGCCATGATGAGAAAGCTTTTTGGGATGTTTTATTACGTTTTTATGGGGATGTGGGACAGGAAGGGGGAAAAGGGGGCGTCAGTTTCACGTGAACGGGTCAAAGAGGATGTCTTTGTTAGTTTGTATACTTTTATATATAAAAGGATTTAATGCAAAAAAAATAAGCATTTAAAGCTAGAATGTATGTGTAGGGAAGTACTGCTGTCCTGTTAGTTCATACCAATATTTTAAGTAAATAAACAGTAGTGTTTCCATATACATTTTTCCTCCCTGTTGTTGATTGTGTTATTTATTTCCCTGACAGATTTTATTATTCTACCAAAACTCAAATTATTCTCCACATTAAGGCTTCACGTTTATTGGATATTTTTCTAAATAAAAGCGTATGTGGGTTTTTTATTTCTGCTTTGTTCTCTCTAAAGTAAAACTATACAAGGCTTTAAAGATCAGTTAATTCTGTCGCACACACAACTCTCCCACCTCATGTGGCCTTTCTTATTTCTCTAATTTCTCCTCCTCGGTCCTGCGGTAGTGACCCGGAAATGGTTTTCGGCGCGCCATGTTGAAGGACATCTCATTTCTCTAAATGCACATCAAGGATCGAGCGTCGAGGAGGCTCTCTGGGGGAGCTATAATCGAGGATACACTGATGGGTCCTCCACGGATGCATTTCCGGCAACAGTGATGTTTAAAAGAGTCGTGATGCACGTCCGGACTTATCTCAGCCAATGACAGCTCTGCATGCATCCCCTGGATATTATTCTTCTATTCTATATATGCTTTCATCGCGACGCGATGTTTACAGTGAGAACAGCTGTGAGGTCGTGCAGAAAGCAGAGCAGTGTGTATAATATATATCACTCAGTATAACAGGCCTACATTACTCTCTTTATTTGTATGCTTTAGTTTAGTAGATATCTACAAACAAAGAGTCGATATTTGTCTAAAACCATTTAGTGCTTCACATAATAAAATACAGCCTGATATGCTTTAGGAGCTGAACGCAACATTTAGGAACTAAAGTGGGAAAAGTACTGCGGTGTGAACGGGCCTATTGTAGGGGGGGGGGGGGGGGATATATCCAGTCTCTGATAGTATTACGTTATTTGTGCTGTGAGTGCTCTCATACTTGTTTGATTCTGAAATTGTATATATTTATATAAATATATGTGTGTGTATGTCCGCATCTGTAGCCTGTTATTGTCTCATTATACCGCACTGTGAATGAATTAAAAGTAAATATATAAGTCATCATGAACACAGTTATGTCCATCAGACAGAGCAGAGGGCTGTGCCTCCTGTCATCATTAATGGACGTCTCTTTAAAATGAAAAGGAGAGGATTTCTCTAACCGCCTGCTGCTTCCCCTTTTCTTTCCTCGGCTCCTCCGCTCGCATCTCCTGTGGGCGGGACTAAGACACGAGGATAGGAGTCGAGGAGGGGAAATGAGTGAAATGAGAAAGGCCCATGATGGTTTTGAAGCGAAACTACGGGACGAACCAGTTCCCGCCCGCAGCTCACGCCTCTCTGTTTCGGCTCATCCTGACGTGGCGAGCCGCTAGAGGACCGCCGGTCCCTTCGTGGTCTGCTGCGATTGGACAAACTACCTGTTTGGCGATATTGACGATAAATGTAAATACACGCAGGTGGCAACAACGGCATGGGCGAGAGCTTATGTAAATAAAGGAGAAGTGAAAGCCTGTCACTGTTTCAAGGCGCAAACAGCCTCTCTCCGACGCAATGTGTGGCAGATAGGCTAGTTGGAGAAAAGACTGGATTTGTATTCAAGGTAGGCGTGATAACTGCTCTTATCAGCAACTTTTGACAAGTACATGCATTTCCTCGAGGTTTCTGCAGTGCCATATGTTGTTTATGGAGGTTTCACTGTAGCCTATTTGAAGTTGAACCAAATGCCCGCCAATTACAAACACACAGAACATGTCTGTTACAGTATAGAAACGTTTTTGGTGTGTTTTCTGTTAAAGACATGGCTTACACGTCAACTTTGGACTGATTTGGGGTCCAATAGCCTACGTGCCACATCCACCTGACTCCCGTTTCCGTGTCCAGGCGGTGACACCCAGCTGCGCAGCCATGCCTCAGCTCACGCGCCCCGCGGTGCTGCAGCTCGTGCTGCTGCTCTCCGCTGTGCCCGCGCAGTACCTCATCTCGCGCTGGAGCGGCACCACGGTGACGCAGCGCTACCACGCGAGCGCACGGTAGGATCCATCCAAGACTGCGTCAGTGTTCCAGGGTGTTATCAACTTTGTATTGGGCAGAAAAAGTATGTGGTGTTGGGAAATTAAACAAAGCTTGTTTATATGTAAAGTATAGTCACTAGTAATAAATATGGTAAGACTACTGCATCCAAATATGACCTTTTCAGTGTTTGTGTCTATAATAATCATGTTGTTTCAGGTTGCTTAGAATTTGGAAAGATTTGAGAACATCTTACCTCAATGGCACGGCATGGATGGACTGGGCAGACCAGCAGATGTCCAGAGCCAAGTGAGTATGGGATATTTTGCAATCAAAAGGGACTGTGATTATAATAATCATAGACTTTATTTATAAAAACACCTTTCAAACAGACTAAGGCATTGCTTTAATATAAAAACATAACACATGTCATACATATAAGAGAATGCAATGTGAACTAAAAGCTTTTGACAACTTGACACATACAACAAAGATAAACACACAGAAAAAACATAAATACATTCACAAAGCCAATTTTTTTTTAAACAATTTGATTGAGACTAAGACATGCTATGACAAGTGATGTTCAATTGCATTATCTAAAGTTAAATCTTTGTTGCAATAGAGAAACAAATGAACAGGATACTCTTGTTAATGTGCATACTAACAATATGTTTTGCTTCCCGAAGGTCTTTAGTCGGATTGGAAGAGGAAGAGTTAAAAGACTCGCGCCCCATAGAGACCATGCTTTTAGACAATGACCTGGAATTCTTTGGAGGTTTGTGTCTACTTTATATTTTGAAGGCTTTAATCAGTGCATATATTCAGATTTCTTTTGTAAGGTAAATCATCTGGAGCCTGTTGCAAGCAAATGAGTAGATTGATGTTTGTGCTTCACTGTTCAGGGAAAAGTTACTGTGAAAAAAGTGAAATGTGCTAAAACTACATCACAGGATTTTCTTCTTGTTCTTTAACTCTGCAGCCTCCAAGAAAGTGCGCAGCCCTCGTCCTCCGTATGTGTTCCTGCGTGTTGGAGACGTGGTGATGGAGAGTAAGGGCCACATGGTGGGGGTGGTGGTGAGCTGGGACTCTGAGCTGCGAGCCCCTCAAGAATGGGTGGACAAAGTGTATTCAAACTCTGAGGTTAGCAGCTCTTTGAAAATCATTTCCTTCCTTATACATTCTGGACTTATTTATATAATTGTTGGAAAGTATAATTGTCACTATTTGTATGCATGCAGGTCCCCAAAGCAGAGAATACGCCTCATTATAAAGTGCTGTTCAGCGGGCCTGGATCCTCCTCTCTGTTGGTAGCATACTTGCCTCAAACACAGCTGATGCGCTTCACTGGGACACGGGTATGTACTGGAAAAGCACAGCACATTAACGCCCACAATCACACACTTTTACATACGTTTTGACTCACTCTCGGATGTTTCTAGCCGGAGATTCCCACCTTGGAAAACTACTTCACACATTTTGACGGGGAGCGGTTCGTCATGCAGCCCTGGCTCAGCGAGATGTTTCCAGAGGACGAGAAGGAGGACAAATGACTGCTCAACTGCATGTGGGATCAAAGAGGTGACAATGTTAGCAATGCTAAAAACAACAGAGGATTGGTGGCTATCGCTTCCTAGCCACGGTTTAATGCTAGCTACACTTCCTCTGTTTGTACCGGTTTGTACCAAGGTGTTTCGGAAACCTCTATCAGTTTTCAAGTTCTTTTTTTTCTCCAAGATATCTACTTGAGTCAGTCAATCATTGCTGAAGTAAGTGCAACATTTGAGCAAAATGAGGATCATTTTAGAATCCCTCCTTGCCTGATCTTGATGTGAGGGTGTCTTTTGAAATGTAATTTACCTTTTTATTTCTTTGAGATGTACAAATACAAAGTGTTTTAATTTGATGTGCAACTGATTTTAAATTACAGCAAACGCTTAAAAAAAAAAAAATCTGTTTACAAGACAGTGTTGGCTGAGGAAGGAAAAACAACCTTGAAAAACTGCACTTTAGCAATAAAAAATACTTTAAACTGTGACGATCCTCTCTTTGGTTTCATGAGTCAGTGAAATGATTGTGTTTAGAGTTTTTTCCTGCTCCTGTCTCTGAGGCTGAAGGAGACAGACACCCGTGAGGAGGCTCTGATATTGGGAATGTGAGGAAGGGGTGCAGAATCCCGGCATCTGCCTCCATCTTCCTCATCCTCACTCCTCCACTCCCTTGTCTCCTCCTCCCTGACCTGAAGGGGGGGTCCCAGAGTTTGCCCCAGGAGCTGACTGACCTCGCAGGCCTTCTGCTGAGCATTTTCAACCGCTGACACACACGCTCGCCGCCTAGAGAACAGACAAACACACCACTTACAAATAGTCTGTAAAGATATTAAACTGATGATAAAATGTGTGTGTTGTATACCTCATTTGACTCAGGCTTTCAGCACTGTGGAAGAAATGTGGCGTTCCCACACAAACACTCTTGTCCAGCTTCTCCAGCAGGACGCTACACACTCGCTCCATCTTATCAAAATCGGAGAAAGTGACCTTGACCTGTGGGAACAAAACACATGTAGAGTCAGTGACAGTTTAAGCAACATTTGGATCATTAGTGTTTATCTGAATACTCCACCTCTGCTTCCATGTGATACTGTTCTGCCTCCCGGTGGAGAAACCTCCTCACTGAGGTGTCTCTTTCACTGACACCATGTTGTCTAAGCAGAAGGAATTAATGACAACTGATTATATTCACTGCAATATAGGTTATGGTGAAATTAGCAAAAGTACAATCACATCTACATTTTAACAGCATACACGAATTCGAAATACTATATGAACTGCAAGCTTCTTGCCTTACCAACTATGCTTGTGCCTGTGGAAAAACTAGTAATATTAAATAGATAATACTCCACGACTTAATTCTATGCCACTTTATACTTATTTTTCGACACATTCCGGAGGGAAATCGATACGTTTAGCCACATTTTGCTACGTCTCCTACTCAACAACTTTGTTTAGTAGTTCGCTGAAGTTGTTATTACAAGAGTTACAGCCAGTTAAGCTACTAGCTAGCTTACGGTTTGCTGTTTAAATTGAATAGTGTATAATGTGTATGTTCTTACCTGACACTTTGTAAAATGTACTCAAGTCTCCGTGTTATGCTGTTGGTCACCTCGTTGACGGACTCTTTGCTGTTTGCCACACTGACCCGCACAGACACTCGGTCCGCCGGGCAACAGACCTCCGCTGTTCCCGTGACCTGAACCTCCCGAGCCTGGTTAACGTTGCCTGGGTTTTGGCTATTAACTGCTCGCATTTCGAAGCCATGCTCCTTTTCCTTAGCGGCGAATTCCCGAGCAGCAGCCGGTAGAATCTCAGCGAAAACTCGGCTCTGATTCTCCATGACGGACACACAAACCAACTTCCCGCTGCTATGGTAATAGACGCAATGCACCTTGGGATTTGTAGGCCATACGCTACGCTTGTGTTACACTGTCCTTAGTTAATAAACCTATGATCTCTCTTGGATTAGAACAAATATAGGCTATAATGGTGAAAATATAAACCTTATTTTATTAAATCATTATTTTTTGGATACCATTCTACTTTTTGCAAACGTAGCCTATGTATTGTTCATTTCTTTACACGCCTCTCTATTTGGCCTCGGATGTCTAGGTTGGACGTTTCTGGCTATATCTGAATATTTATTGCAAATTGTAAAAGGTGTGAAGCTTTATAATGCTGTTTGTGATAATGATTTGGTTTCACTGCATGACGTTTCTGCAGCTTGATGATGGTCACGTGATTCAGGTCCCCCTTAAACACACCTGTGATTTGGTCTCCTGATGAGCCAACATTACGCATGCCCAAAAATACTGACAGAAAGTCACATTAAATGTCAAGCTTTAAATACGTCGGCCCAGGGCTGAATTTGTCTGTTTACACATTGTTTCTAGACAGTTTATAAAGGTTGCAAACCTTCGGAACTATTGCAGGAGATATTTCATTTTGTTTGAGGATCGAGGCTAATAACAAATCAAAAAGAGTAACAAACAAAGTGTCCTAAGATTCAACCGAAGCTATGGTTTGAACATAGTTCCGCCATTGCAGAAACATATGCCCTCCGACCAGTGATGTGTCGGTCGCGAACGAGCCGATTCTTTTGAACGGCTCTTTGGTACGAACGAGGGGAACCGAGTCGTACTTGGTGAGAGCCGTTCTTGTTATCGTTCAATCGTTGGTCCGCACTCACTGCCTGCCAAAATCCACTCACCTTTTAAAAAGCTTGATTTTGTTCCCCAAACGTATTCTGTGAAGACCCGCCCCTACTCTGATTGGTAGGTTTCAGCACGAGGAGTGAGATGGGGTTGGTCTTAACGGAGAGAGAAGTCATAACAAGTGGAACAGGACAGGTAGACGACGTGTTTTTCGGATGGAAAATGAGCCAAACGCGAAAACGCAGCAGCATTTGGATGCACTTCAACCAAAACCCAGGCAGTGATAAAGCGCACCATTTGTAAAGGCAAAATATCCTTTAAAGCAGGGTCAACAAATAATCTCCATCGCCACTTAAAAACACACTATCTAATATTAAGAGTTGCGTGAATTTCATTCAAGGCAAGGCAACTTTATTTACTTAACACATACAGAGGGTAAATTCAAAGTACATTCACTGACATGAATGACATGGATATGGCGCCACCTTGTGTCATGTTTACAATGCCGATTATTGACATTAGGTCTGGCAATACAGTCAATCATTATCCTGGTGATTATTTCGCAGATAAACCTAGTAACCCCGCCCCCTTTTAAAAAACGGCTCTTTTGAACGGCTCTTTTGAACGGCTCTTTGAAAGGAACGGAGCCATAAGATCCGGCTCCCTTCAAAGAGCCATAATTCCCATCACTAGGCTCCGACCCTCAGCATGACAATTCAGGTACATTCTAACTTTTTAAGAAAAGTGTGTTGACTATAGCCTATTGGTTATTTCTTGGTTCCAAACGTTTATGTTTCACGTTCTTTATCTTCTTGCTCAAAATAAATGGTCGAAAGCTTGGGTGAAAAGACAGACAAGCACTAGGTTGCAGGTAGGTCGCTATTTCTGTTAAAAACACAAAGTAATTGCAACACTATCAGGCCTACAGTACAGAAACAGTTCACGTCAGGCATTTTGAAATGTAGGCCCAACTAGCATGTGGGCATTTGGTGGGTATTCAGCCTATACGTGTTTGGAAACATTTATTTTTGTTAAATTTCACCCATAAATGGATGTGTCTGGCTCTGCTCAAGTTGTTTAATAATAATAGAAAATAGTCTACACAGGACAAATAAGTAAGCCACAGCAAAAGTGTATCAACATTTTACTTATTTATCTGTATCATCAGCTCACATAATATTGCCTTTTATATACAGGTATGTGTTGTAAATATATTGGTTCCATTTGAATACATATTTTTGTTCGACTTGATAGTCAAAGTTTTCGAAATAATACAGTACAAAAAAGTACAGGATGTATTGGCATTATCACTGTTTGGTCAGCAGATGGCAACAAAGTACCACATAACAGCATAGAAACAATATGGCAGAGCATTTGAAGTGATGGGATAAGTACAGGCCTGGTCTCTTTGAAGTTACTTGTCATAACCATCACATACTTGATTTTTGGTAATAATGTATTCAGTTTATAGCGAATCATATTGTGAGTATCAATACGTTTCTCACTTAAATGTATACATTGATAGTGGTTCTTAATGATTAGTGAATTGAGTTTAATGGCCTAAGCAATGCTATAATAGTCAACACTAAATCAATTATCAAACAAAATGTACTGTCAGTTTCTCTTGAGTTAGTTACACAAATATTGATTTGCATGAAGAGAAGATATTCGGCCTAATGTATCTCATTAATCCGTCATAAGATAAGATATACTTTATTGATCCCAAATTGGGAAATGTTCTCTTTACAGCAGCATTGCACATAATTAGAAAAATATAAAGTGTAGAAAATAAACAAACATAATATTTATACATCTTAAAATAGTAGTGTGGAAGCCATATAAGCTGCTTTCTCCATGTACAGTATCGTGGAACTTTTATTTGCCTTATTTCATTTTCCGAGGACATTTGGGAACAGCAAAGATTTGATCCAATTCTGGACACTGGTTTCTTTAAACAACAAAGTTTGTTTGGTTTCCCTGGTGTATTAAACTGTGAAACAGGCTTTATAATCACAACCTAAAAATACAAGGCCATATTTGTTGTTATTGTCTCTGGTTTCGCCGGTCCCCCAGTATGCTCTGTGAAACTCTAGATCTGAAGCACAGCTTCAGCCAAGAGAGATGCAGCACCCTACAGGCTATTTCCATATGAGAGAGAATGAAGAAGATACTTTTTTTTACTGTAGAATCAAGTCCAGAGCATTTTCCTTGCAGACATATTTTACCCATCTGTTGCTATAACCACCTAAATAATGTATCTTATCATGCTTTGTTGTTACTCTATTTCTTTTACAATCATTTGAAATGCCAAGAGTAGCTGGGGGTTGTTGTAATAAAGGAAAATGGCTGTAAGTTACTTATTCAGTTGGCAATCATCATAAGGTTACCGACCACTTACATAAACAAGAATCCATTTTACTATTAAAAATTCTCCTCCTCGTCTTATATTTATACAACCATGCGTTTTATAGTAGTTAATAAACGCACCATGAAATAATGTTAAGAGTTATGTAAACCAAAAAAAGGTTGGTTGCTGAAGTAACAAGTGGAGTGAAGTGAATTAAACAGGCTTTGCCCTCCATTGTGTGCTTCGTGACAAAGTGTCTGGGGGTCCTTACATGGAGACTGTGGCCACTTAGGGAAAGAGATCTGACTGTAATGGTCTCTGAATCTGTTGCTGTCTCTCTCACTCTCTCAGATGAAGTAATAAAGTTAGCTGTGTTGGAGGCCCTCCATGTCTCTCCATAGACCACAATCAAGGCCCATGCAGTTTTATTGCCGTTTTATTTTCATATTGTCCAAGAAATCTCCAGACTCCCCCCTGTGCCC